CCTCGTGGTCTAGGCGTGCGACACCGGGCGCAAACATCGTGGATGCTTTCCTCCTCCTCCTCCTCCTCCTCCTCCTCCTCCTCCTCCTCCTCCTCCTCCTCCTCCTCCTCCTCCATCACCATTTCCATCCGCTGGCGGGACTAAAACCTCGACGCTGTCGCCTTCCTCCAAGATGTTTCGCATGCTCCTCCTGTCCGGCCTGTTAACCTTTATTCCGAGAATGTCGTCCAGGCTTCCCCGTTTCTTCGGCGTCTCTCTGCTCCCTGCCACCGCCGCCACTGCCGCTGGCGCGTCGTCTCCGCCCTTTCCTCTCGTGTACCGCGTGGCGGGTGCGGCTTCCTTCTCTGCGGTTCGCAACTTGGTTCCCAGAATGTCGTCGAGACTGCCGTTGGTTGCGGTCTGCCATCCGGGTTTCCCACCATCCCGAAGGCCTTCACCATCAGCCGGGGAATGCGGTGCCTTTGTCTCGCTTATCTCATGACCAAACGATTGGGTTTGTTCGAGGAGGTGCTTCGGAGAAGACGGAGAGGACCTGCGTCACGCAAGAGGACACAAAGGATCGCAGCACCCGGTAAAGAAACAGCCGTTTTTGGAGGATTGTTGAGCGGTCGTTATGCACTTTTTTTTATTGTTCGTAGCAGGTATGTCCGGCGGTAAACGAACGCTGTGGCCAAAGCAAGAGGCAGCAGGGTGGCTCATCCCAGTGTTGACGCCCGTCCAAAGTGTATGCCGAGTTATCTATTTGAAACTAGAGCGAACCCTATCATCCATGGAAGACCATCCGAGATGCAAACAGTAGCGGCTCGCACTAGCACCAAATGCCGGCAATATCTCTGGCGGTGACATGGCAGCTTGTCTATCCCGGCCACTTTGTCAAACGGAAAAACGACGGGCCTGGCGGTTGTAGGAGGAGCAGTCGCGCGGCGGAAAAAGAGAGCCACGTCTGATTCGATTTCCGACAAAACACGAGTCGCTCTTTCGTGACCAACTGTTCTATTTCCCTCTCTCCCTCCCCCCCTCCCCTCACTCCCTCACCTTACGCTGTTCTGTCCTGCAGACGATTCGCTTCCCTGCTCGTTGCCATCCCAAAAAGACTGCTCCCCGGCCGACGACCCCGCTGGTGACGGCGGCTCGGACCTGGTGGACGGGCAGGGGGGGGCGGGGGGGCGGGGGGGGGCGTTGTTTGCATGCCCGCAGTACTGAGACAATGGATCGGGCCACAGGGGGGAGGGGATGGTCCGTTCCGCACGTGCTTACTGCTCGACCGCCCATTCAAGATGAGAAAGAAAACCGGGTGCCACCGGCGTCAGGGTGTTTTGAGCGCGGGAGCGGGACAAGCACGCTTTTGTTTCCTCGTGTGATGTTGATCTTCAAGGACTGTTGGCGACATGATAGAGCTGAAGAAAGTGGACTTTCCCGCTCCAGCTCGAGTCGTTCAAGCGTCCAAGTTCGTTATGCGAGGAGAGAGGGAGGTGATATTGTTTTTCGTGCTGTTCTTGGGCCTGTTCGCTATAGTACCATTAACGACAGAGTCGCTTCCATACGAAGGGAGCAGGGGGGGGGGTGGTGGCGTCCTCGCACATGCTGCCTGCGTTTAAGACCAATAGGCATACGTTTAACGTGAGTCTTTGCCTACCGTTGTGGTCGGCTGCGGCACCTAGCTTGCCTTGTAGACTTTGTACTTCGAGGTGAGGTCCCATGTGCGGGCTGGGAATACGTGTATCCCTTTTAGATAACATTCTGTTCAGAGGGAACAAGTCGAGGGATCCTACATGTGTAGCTGACGCAGATTGGGCAGTTCCCAGGACGTCCGTGTAAGGTACTCGAGTGCATCCTGGACGGAATCCAACCACAAACCTTTCAGCATGCCTCAGTAAATCCACGCTTTGGCCCCGAGCAAGGTGCGTATCGCGGATTACTCGTTCATGTCTCTATCTCCGACACGCTGGAGCTTCAACCTTGGGGGGGGCAGATATACATACCTACTGACGAACTTGATCTCCGCAATTGGCACCTCCTGCCTCATTCTCCCGTCCGCCAGGATAACGTCCAAGGATCCGTCGGGGTTGACGTGCGCCACCTCCCCGGAGATGTACTCCTTGGAGCCGGTCGCTCCGCCCACCGGGGTGCACAGAGCTTGCACGTTGTCCCCGACCAGATACCCTATCGGCACCGGGGCGGTCCCGGCCTCCCGTCCGCTGGGGTCTCGGCGATCAGAAGAGAGTCCTTCCTTCGATGCGGTTGTTGCGTCCAGGTCCGCCTGAGTCGTGAACAGGTATGTTAGTTTGTATGTCGTCCACACCAACGCTCTAGAGGTACGTGGAACCATCATGAAGTAGCCAAGGCGATTCAGCCATGTACCATACATTTCTTGACTTTATCTCGTCGCCCTCAAGCTCGTTCGACGGCGGTTGGTATGCGACGGACGGAATCGTCGTGACTGTCGTTGGTATCGTCGGTGTGGTTGTTGTTCTCGTTGTTTGTGTCGGTGCCCCTGTTCGTTGTGTTGCTCACTGTCGATTTCAGAGAAATAGGCATACCGTGATAGCCCTCATCTGCATCACCTTCCGTGCCCCCGCTACCACCACCGCCACCATAAATTTACCGCGCCCTCAGCCTAACCAACGCCCCGACCTACCCCCGTCCTCCCTACTATCAGCACCGCCCAACCCCAGCTTAGCCGCTCTTAATCGGTGGCACGTCTAGACCCATCCCCTCACAACCTTACCTTCGCCGACAAGGCTCTCCCAAGGGCCAGCGACTCCGCGGCGGCGCGCTCCCTGGCGACGAGCGCGGCTTCCGCCGCCTTCTGCGCCTCGACTTCCGCGGCCGCTCGCAGCGCAGCTTTCTCCCGCTCCTCCTCGAACTCTTTCATCTTGGCCTGGAGAGCCGCGCTCTCCGCGGCCACCCGGTCCCTCTCGATCTGGATGTCGCGGGCCACGCGCTCTTCGAGCTCTTTCTCTATCTGAGCCCTCATGGCCACCTCGGACGCTTTCCTCCGATCATTTTCCTGTTCGATCCTGTTGTTGTTGTTGTTGTTGTTGTTGTCGTTGTTTGGTCTTCAGTAACCGTTACGATCCCTGCCCAGTGCCTTACAACATCCGTAACTGGTCCAACTCAAAGCGGACGCCTCAAGTGGTTACAGGCTAACCGCCACTGTGAAAAGGCATTGGTTGATATTGAAATTGCGCCAGTCACTGATCGTCGAACAAGCTAAAGAAAGGGGAAGATCCAGAGGACATTGTACGTATTTTCCCAGGCGTTTTAGATCGAATCGAGATAGTATTTGTTGAACCCCCCCCACTTTGCAGATATGCTGGAGCACACACTGTTGGCTTCGCGTACGTACGTGTCACTAGGTTTATGTTTGGAGGAACTTCTGTGTTGTCTTGAAACCCTATGGCATTGGAATTGTATCCCAAAGAATGTACTTCGTTCAATTCGTTCGACGACATCCAGAAATAATTTCGTGGAGGTACAAGTTTGAAGCGTTTTCCAACATGCGATTATGTTCCCTTCGAGTTTGTGGTCGACACTCTCCTTGCCTGTTGAACGAAACACCAGAACAAACCATCGTCCATTATTATGTTGCAACAAGTTAGGGACAAATGATGGCGTCTTCGTACATCCAGGCAGGGGTTCGAAAATTCGTAACTCACGTTGCGTACAGACTAGACTAGTTTCGCGCGAATTATTATATGCCGCTTGCCTCAGAGCCTCTGCAGCAGCTTCAGCCTCTCTAGCTCGACGAGCCTCCTCCTCTGCCTCGCGCTCGGCCTTCTCCGCTTGCGCGACGGCCTCTCGCTCCAGCTTGAGGGCCTCCAGCTCCGCCTTGACGCGCTCTGCCTCCAGCCTCGTCTCCTCCTGGTGCGTACGTCCGAACCGCGTGCATTGGAAGTCCCAAGAACGTTCCCGCAAGAACCGCGACAATATAAATCATAGGTCAGAGTCGCCTACGAGGGTGGCGGGTGTGTGCGACGCCACGTTGCTGCTTAGAGGGTACTATGTGGATCGATGTACAACGCAGCAACACCCCAACAAAACCTCTGCGCCCTTCTGTACTCGATTCTGTATGGCGTGCGATCCCCGGCGTACGTGCGGATGGGCGTCCAAGGCTTCGACCCCGACCAAGTTAAGCTCCCGAAGCGCGCTCAATATCGTGATGAAGATTGGGTCGCCCGCTCCTGTTTTTATTCGCAAGACAAAACTGCTACTGTTACGTGCACTGCTGTGGACCAACACACCGCGTGTTCACACCCACCTGGTGTTTGGCAACTGCTTCTTGCAGGCGCCGCCTCTCATCCTCCTCCGCTTCGTTCTCGCGTCGCCTCATCTCCTCCAAGGCTTCTTTCTCCAACCTGGCCTCCTGTTGAGAGCAACGGATCGGGTGGGAACCCGGCCAGCCGGATTGGTGAAGTGGGGGGATGGGTAAGAAGACGGTAGTAAACAGCTCTCGACATGGCGGGCTGGAAGTGCCAACTGTAAATAACAGGGCGAGGCGATATGCTCAGGTTACTCTATCTCGCGGAAGCATTTTCACGTTCTACCGCAAGGTGAAACGACGGACACGAGCCGACATAGTTGGGGGAATGAGGGAGGGCGATCCGCTTTCTCGTCTGCATTTATCCTGTCCCCTACTAGAATATAAGAGAAGAGTCGCATCAAGTGGGTTGTTTCGCCTTTCCAGGCGGTGCCAAGAGCTGCGCTTCAACGCATCCCCTGGGGCCGGCGCTGGTCGTTGTACTGTGTAAGTCCGCCGGGCGCTAACCCATGTCGCGCACAAAGCTACACACGTTGACGACAGGACAAATCCCCCATATTCACTCTGCAGCTGGTTGTTGTTGCGTAGCGTACGTTGAGCTTAATGTTGTCGTCGTCTTTCTCTAGGTTGTTGTGTGGAGACCACCTTCATAGAGGTACACTCTCCCCAACGTCTGTCGAGGACGATTCTCGCTTTTCACAATGGCGTCGACGAAGAGATGCCAGAGTGTCTGCTTTTGGTTGCAAAAAGACACGGGTTCAAACCCCGCTGCGCACCAAGTTTTCTTCCGGGCAACGGAAAAAGAAAAACGGTGGGTGGGCCAAAGAAGGACGCACTGGCTATCGAACTCGGAACTTCTGATGACGTGGCGGACGTAGCGAACCCGTGTAATCACGCACAGAGGATTGTGAAGAAAAGTGAATCGCCCCGCCGCCAGCCGGTCGGGGTCCGGTTACCCCAAGAAGACTTCTCTTACCTAGCAAACAAGAAGTCTCGAAAAAGGGGGTGTAATGTGGAGACCACCTTCATAAAGGTACAATCTCCCCAACGTCTGTCGAGGACAATTCTCTCTTTTCACAGTTGCTGATAAAGAGTTTTGCCGTACCCACCATGAATGTAGGCATCCTTACCTCAATTTTCTCTTGGAGATTTCCCGACGCCGATGCGACAACAACACGACATCGCCGACGAACATTGTTGCGCGTTTCAAGCCATAGTGAACGCATACGTCGCAGTATCACGACTGTCCGATGCCTAAAAAACCATGAACGGGGGGATCCGTGATCCTTCTCGGCCAGAGTCACCACGCCCAGCGTATACCTGTTGATGGTGCACCACTCCTGGTGAATCACTCTGGCTGGTAAGAACGCCATTCTCCAAACCCACGCCCTAGAGAACGTAAGTGGTAGCGGATCGTGTCGTGTGCCAACGCACGTTTTTACATGTGTGGCAGGAGTGTCACGCAAAGGATATTCTCATCCACCAAGCACCGTAGGTGGTACGGTTGTCCTCAACGTGTATCGTTCCCGGTAGAAGTCTCGGCTAACGCCCCTCACCGGGAATGCGAGGTCTATGGTTTACCGACTACGTCGTGCGTTTCACGAGCACACCCGCCACCTTCCTCCCCTTACCTCGTTGTGTTTCGCAAGCTCGGCCTTGTGCCTGGCCACCTCCTCTGCGTGCCTCGCAAGCTCCTGCCGCTGTAGCTCCATGTCCTCCTCGTGCTTGCGTCGCATCTCCTGCCGCTGCTTTTCTAGCTCCTCCTCCTACCGATGCAGGTTGACAACCAAAAACTATCGATTTTCAAGTAAAAACCAACCTGAAAGAAGACGGCTACCAACGGGTGTTTTGTCCATGTTTGAGTCTGTCGTTCTCTCACTGATTCGTTCGTCTATTTTTTACGTGTGTTCTTTCGGAACTCCCTGAATCGTGGGAGCGTTCCCCACTTGAGTTCCACATTTGGGCCAAAACATCATCAGTTCCAACGCTTGGTCCTGGGGTTCGAGAAGGAAAACGTTCTCCCCCATGTCGCTCCGTTGGGCTCCATATTCGACGCGAATTTAACCTCCATTATTGGGGCCAATCTTTCGATAATCATGGGCCAAGGGCCAACACTCGGCTCCGCGCCAAAATACTTCGTTTATTTTTTACCTTCCTTACACATGCGGAAGCTCTCAAGTTGCTTCAGGTACTATTTTTTAGTTTTTCCTGGCGATTTTCATCCACACGTCTTTCAGTTTCGCCACTGATATTGAAGTTGCATTATTTCATGCCCTCCCATAATTTTCACGGTCTTATTATTTCGATGTGTTTCTTGCTTGATCCTTACGCCTGGTTAGGATGACCACGTATTTTCGTTCTTCGCCTTTGGAGAGCAGGCCGGAGGAGGTGCAGGGCAGAGGTTACAAGTAGAACGGGTGTCATTGCGAAGAGAAAGACCATAGATTTCCAATCGTTTTTCAACAAAGCTTATTCTTAGTATTCCCCTTAGAATTCCAAGCCACCCAGTTGTCTCCAGGCGTGACCCGGTTCGAACTGTGGAGCATTTAGCTTGATACGGCTGGCGTATTTTGTTGGCCAGTAGAACAACGATGTCGATGTTTATGAGACGAATGTTAAAGCCCTCTTCATGGTTTGAACGGTCATCTTGTCCTGAGACTGGCGATCGTCATTCCCCGGTCGGCTCTATTAGCATGATCGATGACACGATTGATTGCAACCAAAGACACACACTCGCTGGTGTTGACTGCTTGTCATCGGCTGGCTGGTGAGTGCGTTCGATCCTACGTGAAGAAACACAGCACCCGAAAACTTGGCAACACACTGTACCTGCAGGCGCTTTGCCTCGGCCTGGCGGGCCTCGACGGCTTCCCTCTCTCTCTCCATCTCAGCGCGATGAAGGTCGAGCTCTTCCTTGTGCCGCATCCTTTCATGCGCCAAAAAGCGAAAACCAACAGCGATGCATTCAACACTTACAACAGTGGCAGAATATGTCACTGCTTCTCGTGCCACCAAAGTTGAATTGTTAGGTGCTAGGCACATGTACGCAGGCGTTTTCGTGAAGGCCCCTCAGGCGGGTTGGCTTTAGCCCATTTCTTGATCGGAGCTCGCTATTGCTTGTTGACACACGATAAATATTGGTGAAAAGCAAGAAACCAACCACGGAAGTACCAAAAGGTAAACGTCCAGAAGGCCAAGCCTAAGCAATGACATGAACTGTTTGGATCAAACGCATCTGGCCTTTGAGCATTGGGACACTGGGAATCTGGAGGAGTTTCTTCCAGGGCCAGGAACACAGATATCGTTGCACCTTGCGAGTTCTGCCTCTCTACGCAGGTGTTCCTGGTGCTCATCCAGCTGGCGCCTCTGCTCCTCGAGCTCTTCGTCCTGTTGCCTCTGCATCTCTTCCAAGCGCCTCTGATTCGCCGCGTTGGCCATTGCAAGAGCGTCGGCGGCATCCTGCTCCATGGCTGCTTTATTCTCGCGCTCCAGCATCTTCGCAAACAACGGGTATTCCACACAACACGAAGTTGTAGGATGAAACCCTTCTAGAGGGAGACTTAACAGGTAAAAGCTAGAGGTACGAACATCGGGGGGTGTCATTCCAGCTTTCTGCTTGCCGCATGTAGTCGAAAGAGGTCGGTTAGAATTGCACGAGACATATTCTTGATGTGAACTACTGTTCTTCCCGCCCCAGAACCGATTGTTGACAGTGAATCGCTGTGAGGCACAACGACCCAAGCTTGCCCCTGCTCCATCCTCTCGGCATTGGGGGGATCGTTCGGAGCGGCACCCAACCCTCAGTAGTAACAGCTGCGGCCGTAGAGTTTAGGGAAGTCCGATTCCTCATCGGCGTGTCTGCTGCTCATAGAGCCGTTCGGGGAATACGCTGGCTGGGTCACTGGGCATATTTACCTCTTGTCGCCGGAGGGCTTCTTCCTCCATCCTCTGTTGTTGCTCTATTGCCTTCTGCTCTTGCAGCAGCGCCATCTTGCTGTCGTAGTCAGGCGCGCCCACCGGCAAAGAAGCCATACTTCTGGAGTGTATGTGAGCAAGGAGGTGAACGACAACGCACCAGCTAAGAACATGTACAATAATAGCCCCACTTTTATCAGTGCCACCTACCGCTGTGTGTGAAGGGTCGGATACAGCCATATAAGCGGTGCCGTTGCCCGAGCTCGAAGCAGGACACTCGTCCGTACTCCACGTGCCGTTGATGGCTAACGTCGAAAGACGCAATCGACTCGCGAACGTCATTCACGCCTGATGCGGAGGGATGCGAGATCCCCGAGAATGACCGCGATGCGTGACCTAACGTAAAGCTAACGTACCACATGGTGTTCATTTCCGCGTAGCGTACAATGTACATGTTGTTCAGCGCGTACTAGTGTATATCATATCCGGCACAGTACAAGTTGTTCGAATGCTCAGCTTGTGCAATCACCCACCTCTGCCGCGCATTTGTGGGGCTGAAGCTGATCTCCATCACTCCTGACTCGGCTTCCATCGCGCGAACAAAGTCGGGGCTTTGGTAGTTCAGAGGCGCCGCCACTATCCGGACGAACTCTTCTCCGTTGAGATATTCGACCACGCTCGCAAGGACCGCAGCCTTCGCACCCTGGGCTAGCTTGGGGTTCGCGTACTTGCCTAGGTTTGTCTTTATCACGCGTCCCGTCCTGTGCGATTGACGATGCCGCACAGTGGCGAAAGATGCAGCAAAACGAGGTACCTGTCGATTGTCAGTTGTTTCTCACAGAAACACACCACGTCAGGTAATGCGTGGTACGATCATTGACCGGGAAGCATAACAAGCCAACGTGAAATACAACCACGCCTCCCATGCCAGTGGGAGAGAACCGCAATGTAGATGAGTGTGACCTCGACGGAGCTAACCTGGCATTCTCCACTTGAAGCTTCTTGGCCAGAACGGCGCGCGCTTCGTCATGATGCGCCTTGAGCTTTTTCTTGAGGTGCTCGGCTTTTTTTATCTCGTCAAGGTGTTTGGCGTTCAGCGCGCCATCCACCCCCTCGTTGGACAGTCGCTTACTACCGCGCCGAAATAGACTCTTGTCAGCTGTTTTGCCCCCCTTCAGCATTGCGGACGCGGCCTTGAGCGCTACTCCTTGCTTCTCCAACTCCATGCTGCCCCCGCGAACGGTTGGTTCGGTGCGATCAAAATGACGTGCCGTAGAGGTGGTGGATCATTGGTGGAACGTGTAGTGCAAACTTGGCACAGAAAACGTTGGGCGCGCGTGCATCCTAAACTAACGTACATGGCCGTCTGTCGGCGGTTTGGTCTAGCAAGTACAACGAAAGGACTACAGGGGGGGTAAGGGTGCTCCACGAGGGTTTCTCTTCTGTGTTACACAAGCCATTCTTTGTCGAACATTCTCCACTATTCAGATTCAATAGGAGAGGGCAAAAGTAGGGGTAGACTGGCAAGTTGAATGTACGCTTGATGAGCAAATCAATACTTGACGCTCAACACTACCACAGACTGATAGCAGCAATGACGTATCTCACTCTAGCAAGGTGCCAAAATAGCTCTCTTCCTTGGCTAGCATCGCTTCGAGCTCGTTCGTTCGGCGAGCGTGTGCCTTGACCACCTCCTTCTGTTTTTCGTCCAGGAACACTTGTAGCCCTTCTAACGTGGAGATATTCACGGCTTGTCTTTGGGACGTCCCCATGTTGTAGCCTTTCGGTGACCGTACGCTGCTTCGTTTTCTGGTTCCATAGCAGAATCATATTTGGGCAAAAAAGATTGGGTTATGCAGTCCAGGAACAGTGCTTTTTGGCAGAGTATGGCTTTCGGCTGTTGAATGCGAGCCGGAATTGGTCAGCACCTGCCAGACCAAGCAGCGGTAGCACACGTAAAGGCAGTATCCTGGCAACTGGCTGTGCACGGAAGTTCGAACATCGCGGCAAAACGTGCTGGTATGCGGAAAAAGACCAACAAAACCTCGATAAAACACACCGACAACCCGCGTAGCCAGAACTTCAGTTTCTTAGCCCAAGCGTACCTCCTGCCTCCCGCACCAGTAGGTGTGTACCCGCCGCCGCCCGCGGCCGCCCTGACTGATGAGGCTTTACGAGCAGGAGAGAGCAGGTCAGTCGACGATCGACCACTGCGGGGATAGCTTGCTTCGATAGGAATAATAGGGTCTGGTGGGACAAGTGATCGCCGTCCTTGTGCTTCCGGTTGTCCTGGCGATCGAGTGCCGTCCATGGATGGCGCATACCTTCCAGGTGGCGATCGAGGGTTTGACGGGTCGTCGTCGCTGAGAAGACCGTCAAGAGCCGACTGCACTTGGTCTCGGGCATGGTCAGCAGCTCGAGTGCTACGGCCCACCAAGGAACCACGGCCATCGTACTGACTCTCTGGCGACGTAGGAATGGAGGCGCCAGATGCAACGCTCCCCCCTGCACTTCGCAACCGAGAAGGAGACCTATCCATCTCGGCGACGTGGCCGCCGTCGCCGTAAGGCAACTAATAATAATTGCAGATGGGGGCACTTGCCTGTACGAGGCAGTTAAAGAGTTACGGCCTTCATGTGAACGCAGGGGCAATCTGCACCTGATATATCGTCACGAACGCGCACGGCAGTAAGACTTCTGTCCAATGACGAGCGCCCGTGAGCGCATGTGCGTGTTCTCCGATAAATTGGGCTAGAAATTAATTCCAAGTTGCGGTTCACATGAAACGCCGAATGAAAAACTGCGCATGCAGCGATCATGGCGCACGTGCAGAAGCAACAAGTGCAGGCTATGAACTCATGTGTAACATTAGATATCTATCAGACAGCAGTCTACAGTCCATGATCCTCTCCCAACTGAATATATGTCACATGCACCGCATTTGTGGAAATGCATAGCCATTGATCATCAATCAGCATACAGCGGATTTCGTGACGTGGCTGCGTATGGAAGATGCGGGTAAATGTGTGTCGGTTGGTTCCGTGGCGCCACATGCGGCATGCGGCAATGCGGTGAGACTGCAGTCTAGCGGCTGGAATTAAGGGAACATAAATACACGCACAGAAAAACTACCCATTCAAGTGGCTTAGACAACCATGCAGTCTCTATAGTCTCACCAGGGAAATCACCACTGTGTAGACTACCGCAGGTGTAGATTGCGCCGCGTATCCGAGTTGGGGTGATTTATTTGTTGCTTGTTTGGATCCCGACATCAGTGATGAGCTTCATTTCCTTGTTGTCGTACCTCCGACGTTGACTCCAATCAGGTCATTGTTCTCGGACCAGGATATACAAGACGTAGTAACAAGCGTTCAAAGAGAGAGGTGGCATGACAAGCGCCCAAAGAGAGAGGGTGCAGACATTGTCTGGAGGTCAGCTGTACATACACCCTCATTGGTATGTCATCAGGGAGGCCAGCATTTGTCCTACTGAATCTTGCCCCAAATTCCTTTCCAGGTGTTTGCCTCAATTTCCATTGCGAGAAGTATATTCCCTGTCCGTTGTCGTCCATTAAGTCGGGCTTGGCATACCTAAGATTTAATGGACCCTCACCTGTTTGGCAGGCAGTCTTGCACACTACAATAATTCTCCACTTGTTTAGCAGGCAGTCTTGAACAACGTGTACCGTACGTACACACAGTAGGTGTCCCGATATAGTGCCGGTATATGTGTCCAGGCGATTTGACCGGCACTATACCGGGCACCGGCACTATTCAGAATTGTGCCTAAATAGTGCCAAACCGGCACTATTCAGGGCCTGAAAACCCCTCTATAGTGCCGGCTTGGCACTATTCAGGACTGTTCGATTTCAGAGTGCAGCGCTTGCGCTTTGCGGGGCTGACAGTACCAAACGAACGGTATTTTGGTCAATCGTGAGGTGGGCGACGTGGGCGGGCTTCAATAAGTTTCGTGAGGCTCTTGGACTGTCGAAAACACGGCATTGGTCACATTAAAATTAACTTCATTTACCAGATAGATTGTTGCACATCAGCAGTTAGTTGTTCTCTTCCCACCTCAGCGCAAGCACTCGCTATAGTGAAACGTTGCTGCTGCCTTTCAACCGTCGACCGTGCTGCCCGATAAAAGTTCACCTCGCTATCAAACTATTCTGTGTTGTATTGCAAGAAGGCCGTGGCACTATTCAGGCAACCTCAAAGGCACCCCTCGACAGCGAAAGAAATACGCTCATGCACGCACCCGATGTACATTTGGAGGTAAAACATGGACGGATGTAGTGCTCCTTACATGAGCACACAAAAGCAGATGCAACCTAAAAAAGGGGTGAAGAAGATAACGAACTCCCTTGTTCCTTCGATAAAAAGCTAGAGAGAAGACCACCAAGCCTTCAGAAGCAAGAAAAACGACTGGCCAACCAAAAGACGTCAGTCTCAGTGCGGTCAAAAACAGAAAATATTTGTTTCTCAAGGCCGTGAGAGGGTGTCATGGAGGAGGCTGAGCTATTCTCTGGATAAAAGAGAGAAATGGTAGCAACAGAGAGAGGAGAACTACGTGACTGCCAAGGCTTACTACTTTGAACACGCGTTCGTCTCGGAGTGTTTTCATCCTTCCTTAGAAATATTTTATTTCCCACCACTACTACACTCTTCACTAATATGTTCCCACTATTTTTCAGGCTTTCATCTCTAGATTCTGCGCCCCTGCGGCCTTTGTTGTGAGGAAGGTCATCTCGCTCGAAACTCTTGTTGTTCCCCTCATCGCCATATTGCCCTCCTGCATCATCACTGCTATCCTTGGCTACATTTTCCATATCCTTCGTCACTACCACCGTCTTCCTTTTCGCTCGCTTCACTACTGAAATCCCAGCCTTTTGGTAGAACCTGGTCGATCGGTATACCGTGACATTTGAAGACGTCACGCGTACCGAGAGAAACCGAGCTATACTTGTAGCTCGAAGGGAAACCGTCTCCGAATCCTGTTGGCGTGGAAGGCTTGAGGCGAAAAAAGGTTGTGTGTGGGGTCTGAACCTGCACTATTGACGGGTTCGATAGTGCCTGAACCGGCACTATAGTGGGCAGCCCTGAATAGTGCTAAACCGGCACTATTCAGGCCTGTGTCTGTGTCGAGAAACCTTACCGGCACTATACCGGACGTTGGCACTATTCAACCGGCACTATATCGGGACACCTACTGACTTGAAGTAGTACCTAGTCCGCAGAACATATGAAAATCATCGCAATCCCAAACAACGCCCTGGGCATGTTGTATAGCTTGGGGTGAGACAAAGGAGAACCAAGGCGATAGAGCGGCCAACGAGAGACAGGTCTGGCTGAGGGAGCAAACCCGGGGGTGCTTGGCCAACTAACCGCGCGCAAGTGCGGACTAGGACAAAAAACAGGAAAGCTTCCTCTGATCTCACTGATAGTAGATTTTCTCCACACAAATAATTGGTGCATAACTATACATGATGCTCCGTTTCACCACAAACACACACCACGACACGCACGACGGAACACCCCACAACGCAAAGGCGATATCCACATGTGATAGAGAATACCATGACAGACCTCTGAGACGAACGCGCCATCCTCTCGGGTGACACTTCATTTCGAAAGTGCTCGCACAGATACCAAGAAATCACTATTATCTACACATGTACGGTTACAGGCAGTGAAGAACGGATCCCGAAAGAGGAATTCTTGCCCTGCACAGTGTCACGAACGGAAGAAAACACTCCTTCGCACACCCAAAATCTCTCACCTTGCGGTGACCAATATAAAATACAACGCAGAAACACAAAGAACAACGTCGTTTACGGTATTTTTATTACACCGCGATCGCTCAGTTTGCACACACTCAATCAAGATATTTCCATACTCAACAACACGAGGCTATGCACTAGGTCCGAGAGACCCGCCTTACAAAAAATGTGACAATTCATTTGTGCTTTGCTGCAACGACAACCAGGGGGGAGTCTCCAGCCAGGCAACGATAGCCCCTGGGTGTCGGTCCTTCACGGGCCACACAATTAGCTTGTGCCATCATCCACAACACCACCAGCCCTTGAAAACGTCAACGCAACTCACACAACCAATAATCAACAAATCACAATCTGTTTAGCAGCCGGTGCCGACCACCACCCCAATGCGATTCTCGTCAAAATACCACCCCATCAACTTTCCTCGCAGCCCTCGGGATAGTTGATGTTGGACCTGGCCAGGCAGACCCACAGCGCCGCTTCGCCAGCCACGCAACTGTTGGTGTACACGACCGTCGTCTCAGCAGGCACGAAGAAGGCCATCCCCCGGCAGAGCCTTTGCCTCCCGTTCCCGGCGCATGCGAAGCCGGTACCGGCCATGACTACGGCTAGCGCCGCCACCGGCGCTGGCGGCGTGGCGTACTCCTGGCCGTGCGGCACCTGCGGAGACGATCACGCCCGGGGCACTGATATCATCGAATCCTTTGCACTGCCCCGTGTGTATGGTGTTTAGAATGTGAACCTGTCATGACTTCACTTGTTGCCACGGGGCGAAGAGGTTGAGTTTGAAGCCGATTGGTGTATTGGTCTCTTCTTCCTGCTCTTGTTCATAAAGCACAGCGTTGGCACCAGTGGCAACGATGACGTCATCCCCTGGACTTCAGCGTGCGGTACATGGACGAGACATGGCCAGTACGAGACATGGCCAGTACCGACAAATGTCGTAAGAACCTGAGTCCATGGCAACCTCTCATGTTGGCGACATAAAAATGTTCACAGGTTTCTGGCGGCATCTGTATGGCTTGCTCTACACGATTAAGGCGGGCGGAGGAAAGCTGCAAAAAACTGTTTCAATAAAAGGCTACTTTCAAAAACGCGCTTTTCATTTCACGACAACATGGTGCGTCCGAACACCGCACGTTAGATTCCTGGGTATTTTCGTAGTTTTTTTCGTTCAACAACACACCTGTATATCCAGCATCTCGAAGTCCTTGATGGGGGGGGTGTATCTCGAGCAAAACTGGTCTACCTGGATGGGCGTGACGATGGGAGGCGCGCCCATGTTGTACGTCAGGATCTGACACAGCAGGGGCACGTCACGGTGCTTCGGGGTGAGCGCCACGCGAACCACGTTGTCCGAGCGGGCCATCACCTGTGGAAATTTTGTGCGAGTTGATGGAGGAATGTTGAGGAGGTGGAGCACAGTAACACGTACAGAGAAGTGCATTGCCGTGCCGTATATTGTTGGTGAGCATCATTCTTCGTCGGTGATTCTCTGACTTCGTGGGTGGCCGAAGTAGACCCAAAGCCGAGCACACGGTGCCTCTACGGACATAATCAAATCATCTACTAACCCCACCAAGGTTCCTCCGCCTTCCCCTTCCGAACACACAGATCGCCACGAAATCGTCAAGCCTGTATAAAGGATAGGTACTACAACGCGCCGCGCCTCGTTGTAGCGAAGCAATATGGCGTCGAGCGAGGCTCAGCGACGGAGTTGTGAACATACCCAAGCTTAACACACCTCCAAGATGTCTCCCTTGAGGTAGGCGTGGGGCTCGTTAGCCGCCATGAAGAACGACTCTCCCTCCCCCATGCGCAGGTAGTTGAGGAGGAGCGGCATCATGATGCCGATGTCCCCCGGATACTCTTCTGCTAGGCGCAGAATCAGTTCGCGAAGCTGCAGGCAAGAAGCAACACGCACCGGCGCAAAACTACCTGGGTCACATGACGATGCGTGTGACGGTAGACATCTACGTCCCCACCAAAGAAGAGAGAGGGCTCTGCTGTCGGAGACATGGATTCTTTCATGGCCGTCTTGGTATCCCCCACGGCTTCCAAAGCTTCCATGGGGCAGCTTTCATCACTTCCATGGAAGCCATACGAGCTGCCATGGAAGCTCGTGAAAGTCTTCACCAGAAAGGGGCAATAGTGCAGCATTGCATGCTTCCCAGTGTTTACAGCAGTTTCCATAGCCAAGGAGCGTTTTCGCAAAGGGTATCAATGAATGAAAATATTGCGACTGGTCAGGATAGCCAAGAGAGATGCCGCACTCCAAAAGGGCTGCAACATCTGGGGTTCTAGTCTACCGCCTCTTGCGGCGTGTGCTTCAGGCCTAGTTTTCCTTTCGGTGGTGAGTCTCGGGTGGATGCATTGGGTATCGCAGGTGACGTCGTGACGCTTCAGCAGTAGGAACAGGGAGAGTGTCAAAAGGGTGCCAGCTTGTCAAGAAACATGGAACTCTTCTCACTGCAAGGTCCTCTTTCGCCCGCCGCTGCTCGGTGACGTCGGAAAAAGCGAGAATAGACGAAGACCACCCGCGTCGTCGAAACGCGCAGGGGGGGATCCCACCCCCGACCGCGGCCGCCGCCGCCGCATTGTGCCGCACCGATGATGCTAGGTGGCCTTTTTCGGTGGAGGAAATCCTCGCCACGCCATGGACGCCGTGGTATGCACTGGCGTGGCCACTGCTGCTGCTGTTGTCGCTGCTGCAGCCGCTGCTGATGCTGCTGCTGCTGTTGCTGATGTGTACGGTGCTGATGTTGCTGCTGCTGCTGTTGTTGCTCGAGCTCGAGTTGCTTGCTCGGTCATGACCGTCGGTGCGGGGGTGACGGTGGGATTGGCTCGAATCGTCCTCCTCGGTGTGAATATCTTCGTTGTCGGTGACCCCGTCCGCTGTGTCCGCGGTGCCGTCGCTTGCACCGTCCGCCGCGTGCAGCATTTGCATCTCTTCGTTCTTGAGGTTTTCACTGTCTCCGTCTCCCCTCACGTGCACGATGCCCATCTCCACTTTCTCAAGGCCGCTGCAGTCTCCGTCTGGTCCACCGCTCGCCACGCGCAGCACCCCTTCTTGCTGTATCTCTGCCGCCACCATGTCGCTGTCCTCCCCGTCCTCGCAAATAGCGCCGAAGTTTCTATGCCGCGCGGGGTCACTGCTCGAGAATCTGTCAGCGAAAGAGTCACTCTTTCCTCGCCAGGTTGACAGCCCATAGTCGTCGTTATCGATGCTGCTGCTGCTGCTGCTGCCGCCGCCGCCGCCGCTGCCGCCGCGGGAATGTCCGGGCCCGTCGTAGTCGACGTCAACAACGTGTATTCCGTCATTGCTGTTGCTTCTGTTGGACTCGTTGCAAAGCTTTCCTGCCCGGCCGTGGCGGAACTCGCTCTTCAATCTCTCCACGAGGTTATTCACCTGCGGTACATTTCACGGTTGCAAGAGAGGAGCGGGTTTTACAGCCATGACGCCACTTGTGGGGTGGTCTTCAACAGGGCGAAACGTTCGCACCCGAAGGCTGGGTGGCCCGTGAGAAAACGCATTGTCGAAAGGTTGTCATTCAATCCCGACGTGGTACTGTTTGAGACGCGTCTGTTCGTGGGTCGAAAGAGTTCAAATGAATTCTTGGCGAGGGAAAGCGCATTGCTGGACCTTTCCCGTGGTAAAAGTGAAAGCATGCATCGCAGATGGATCATTCTGGATAGTCCTCGGGAGAAAAAGCCAGCCGAACAGTAGTAGAAAACAAATGCAGCCGACGGCAAATCGGCTCGGTGGGGTCATCAAGCCAAGTCACCAGGTACCGGTGGTCCTCCTTGTCCTCATTGTTCCTCCCCTCAACATGGGTGTCTGCATCTTAGTTCTCGGCCTCCTAACTCGAAGACCCTTTCCCTTGTGGAAGGGAGTTTCTGATATCAGTACAAACCATTCTTGATGAAACACGTCCTCATACTTGGTACAAGAAAAAATACATATACACTATACAAGGCTCCCCTTCGGGAATTAGGTGGCTTGCCTCCCGAGGGCGACGCAAGAGGACATGGTCAATGCCATCGCGGTCGCATCGTTGCATCTAAATGTCATGACGTTCGGGTTGTGAGTGCCGGTTTCACGTATCTGCAGAGTTTGCCTGGAATTTTGCATGATGCGCGGAGTATTTTTTTTGTCGCCGTGACTTTTCGCGTGTACGGGTGCGCTTTTAGATTAATGACATCTTTGCTGCAGGTCCTACTGCTGTAATCCGCTGCGTTCGATCATTCGCTCTTATGTATGCGTGTTGCCCATGGTCTGTGGGTGGCGCAGAATCAAAACAAAAGTCTTCTTGTTTAATACCGAGCAGTTTTTGCTGTATTTCTTGCCAAGGCTTTCTTCGTGCGGAACACGTCCCGGCATATTGAGCCAGTGTTTTCCACTTTGGGCGTCAAGCACAAACGCCACGGGTGGCTGGCGGTCCTCGTGCGTGCGTGGTATTGTACCGACGACACCCCTGCGTGCCCATAAGAAGGAAGCGTGAGAAAGGACTCGCTTCCGCCAGCGAAAGATGTCTCGAAGCACGAAACAGGCGAAATGACACAGATACATAAAAGACATATATTTGTCGGAAACATCACAAAAAAGAAATGATGGTCTAGACCATAAAGTGCCCAAAGAGAAAAATCCTCGCCAAGTCCATCTTCATCATTACAACTACGGCACAGGGGATTCCTGGAGTTCGACGCTGTTTCGTCCAGACACCCCCCCGGGGCCTCGGCGAGATTGGCGCGAGTGAAGAGAGCAACCCATCAGCGCTCTTGTCGTCGTCGGCGGCGGCGGCGGCGGCGGCGGCGGCGGCAGCGAGGAAGAAGCTGCTTTAATTCTGTTCTCCACAGAACAGCCGTCTCCGCGGTTGGAAGGGGGAAAGACTACATACTTGTACAAAGTAGGCCGTTTTCACCTGTTCGTCTGCCTCCCACGTGTAGCGACGGCCTGGCCACGGGTTACCAGCAACTTGTAACAGCGGGTCTTGTCATTCCGCCCCCACTTGACTGCGACGCTATGGTCTCCGCAAATTTTTACAAGCTTCGGAAACGAAATGATATGGGTGCATCTCGCGACTGCAACTCCACGGGCGACGAACTGAACGTTCCTGTAGCAAGCACTCCGTGCGTGTCCGTTTTTTCACACCTGTGCGGTCACGACGTCGGTGTTGGCCGTCACGAAGGCTCGAAACAGGACTCTCAGGGCGTTCTCCTCGTGCTCCCTAACGCCGGACGTGCACGCAAAAGCCTGAGCGGTCGTTTCGGCCCCGACCATGGCGCGAAGCTCCGGGTAGATCTCGAGGCTGTACACTGCTCAACAGCATGCGCGTTTGTTTGTTCAAGCGTTTCGAGCAGCCGTCAGTGCACCAGTCCATACATACATGGATGCTGTGTGCTGTGTTCATTTGCCGCGCGCATGCTGCGGCGTGGAGCTTCTGATAGGCCACCAGCGCTTATTGGCAGTTGTATTTGTGGTTGTTACTTGTTCGAAGGCAATGGTACCGATGACGTGCTCCGCTTGGTCGCAGCGGAGCTTGCATTGTACAAAACATTTTCCCCGTTTCTAGGGAAAGTAGAAGATTGGTTGTCACGTTTGGGCCTACTACAGGACTGAAAGTTGTTCACAGCTTGTAGCGATGGGAAAGGTTTCACTTAGCTGCATGATTAAGTCACCTGAGTGTTGCCGTAGTATCGATGTTGCAACGTCTCTGTCTCTCGGATCTGTTTCTCGGAAGAGCTATGCTCCCCAACGAAATGGTACGTTTTCTAGTATGGCAAGCCAGGTTACTCGGTCAGTGGTCCAAGCGCGGCCAGCTAAACACTAGCTGTCCTGGTACGTGATTCAGGTTTAGTTCGTTTGTGATACCGCCAGCAGGTGTATTCAACACTACAAGCACGGAGCTTCACATAACTTTCCGGACCAACTGCAGGTAACGTGACAGTTCACGCCGGGATTTGATGACGGTCTACCCAGGGAGTCGCGTTCCGTGAGGTTGTCAGCGGCGTTTCTGTCACGAGTCTGCGCGGTACTTGTGCGGAGAAGTGTACAACAACTGTCGGGGTAGGGAGCATGGGGGTACCGGTATCGTTGGTACTGCCCGTGGGACATCCCATGGCCCATGGTACGTCCGTCCCATGGGAAGTACCAACAACGTTAGGACCAGCAGGGGTGAGCTGATGAGACGTGCTGGTTGATAGCCACAAACGAAAATCCACGTATCTTCGAAGGAGTGTCGACGACTTTATGGAAGCCTTCTCTCGAACGATGTGGAGTAGAAGAATGAACCCCTCCGACAGCGCACCTTCGAGAATATCCTTGCAAAAACATGTACTTGTTTCCCGAACAATCCGTATCGAACTCTTTTGAGGGACAGAAGTTGTAGCAGCAGAGCCATCATGTTACACCCAATTCGAAGAATTACTTCTACATGGTACTATACTTGCCAATCTCTCGGAAGGGCCGGAAGCCGCAGAGCCCCTCGAAGTCCGAGAGCGCTACGGCCATCTCGGGCTTGTGGTTGTCGTCCTTGTACAGGTCGGGCCGCGTCGCGTACAGGCGTTCCGCGAGCTTCTTATCGGGATGGGCCTATAGACTCCGCAGCCAACACACACGAAATGATTAGGGGTCTTGAGGCCGCTATTTAGCTCATTCAGACACAAAGCACCGGAACGGCTATGACTACTGGTGCTGTTGCCAGTCAACCAACCTGCTGATGGTACTGGTGCTGGTGCTCCTAACCGATCACACCAAGCGCATTCACCCAGAGAGATGGAGACATCACCGACCTGGATCGAAAGCGCCTTGTTGATGGAAAGGACCTTGAACATGAAGGGGAGGTCTCCCACGTGCTCCTGGTCTCCCAGATAGTGCGGGTGAGTCTCCAGCAGCTCGATCAGAAACATGCCGGGGCCCTCTGCTGACCCGTACAACCTATCCTCCGGGGAAGCAACGAAACGGGGTTGTTTTGGTCTCCGCTCCGCGATATGGTATCTGCAATACCTCGTAGTTGTGCCTACTAACACAATATATGATACTTCCAGTATATTTAGAACACAAAGAGACACATATGGATCATTGCGTATATTGCGTGACTGTTGCATCAGGGGGAAGAGAAAGCGAGCCGTTGTCGACGGAAGTCGTCCTGAAAAAAGTGACACAATCCCAAAGTGTGGTAGCGCCCGCCAATTTGCAAGAAGCCCCGAGTTGTGGCAACACACAACAAACGCGGCCTTCGCGGCGCCAACCTGAGCTTGTTCTTCGCTCAGCATGCGTGCATGATGAAAATTAACATGTTTTTCTTCTTGTAAACATGAGAGTCTATACAGTACATATATCGCAGAGGCGTGTGAGCCGCTCTTAGGCGCATGCATGCATGCCATTGCGCGCGCTCACTCACCCTTGCAGCTCGTCGGTGCCCTCGTGCCCGTCGCGCATGACACGACTCGGGCCGTTCGGATGCGTCCCCATCCAGAGCTCTGCGTACGTCTGGCCTTCGTCCACGTCGAAATCTGAGTCTTCGGACTGAAATAGCGGCAGAGTCAGAGCGGGACGGAAATGCAGACGTAGGTACCGGAGTCGAGTCAGAGGCGTGGGGAGAGAGGGGCACACCAACGAACACGAAAGTGCTCAAAAACGTGTGCTTGCATATCTCGTGGTGGGACGTACGTGCCTTCATTTATATTTGTCCCCCTGGGCCAACGAGCCTCTCAGCGGACGCCTTCTTCGCAAGTACGCACAGGGCGTGCCGAACCGGAACGTCCCGGCTCAAGAAATGTAAGAGTCAAATGCCCATGATAAATGGAAAGGGTTGACTCATTTGCTGGTGTTTGCGCAAACTCGTGGGTCATGTTTGTAGTTCTCTCGACGACTACCCGCTCTTCCGTCCGTCACTCCCTCGGCCCTCTTGGCGTGTGACAGGAGTGGCTTACGGCCGAGGTCGCAACGGGACGGTGGCACAGTGAATACGCCAGCGTCATGTAGAACCACTACAGGCACACAGCCGGAACAACAACATGCAGCTCCACACAACCCGTTGATCGGTCGTAATTCTACGGGCACACGACGACGGGTCGATGAACCGGTATCGACTGATGGAGAGGCCGAGGTCTTCACGTACCTTTTTGAGCTGTGCCACCATGCTATCCGAACCACTCTTGCCCCACGCATACCGCTGCAAGGCGGTCTCTAGCCGACGCATTTCTCCTCTCGTCAGCACGTACGTCGAACACGAACAGCTCGTCCACTTGGAAACCTTTTTACGCCTTCATTCGGCCCCAGAACCTGGCAGTGCAGCAGGGTAAAACCATAGTGTTGGCGTGTAAGTAGCGATACTTAGAGGGGACAGAGCCATAATTCTCATTGCGCACCTACATGTCGCGATTCCTCCTCTGGCGGAGATAACTGAATCCTTAGTAATAAAAAGCAATTCAGCCACACACGGTAGAGGGATTTCTCCATGTGACCCCAGCGGGGGGCTTTTCTCTGAGACAGGCAAGGCCGGAGAGTAGTTTGGAAGTGCGAGCGGCAGTTGAGAAATGTCAGGTCGAAGGAAACGGATTTAGGTGTAGCCCTCGACTACAGAAGGTCCTCGTCAAACGCAGCAACGCCGACCACCGACGAAACAGGCAGAAGGGGCACCACGCCCACAGTTCAAGACGCCGCGAGCAGCACGAGTGTCCGATAAAAGCAGAAACGCGACTGCATCTTCATTCACCAGCAAGATGGACGGCTGAAGCGCTCGCATGCCACGCGCACAACCTCGAGACATCGTGCGTTTCGGTTACGGAAGGCGCCTGCGGGAAGGTCCGACGGGCGGTTTTCCAGAGGATACACCGCGAGGCGGTACAATTGAGGACTCCACAGTTATCCATCAGCACCTTGCTCCGCAGGGGAGGGGCGGTGCGCATGCGGGAACAGACTCGCCAAAAGACTCTGCAAAAGGTTCCAACTACGAGTCGGGGCTAGCGACGGCGCTGGAGCGAGACGTGGGGGTCCTGTCGAATTGGCCTTCTTTCTTTACCTTCAAAGATCGAAAACCCAGAAATCTGTGCCCCGCCAAGAACGAAAAAAAGGCACAACCGTGCACGGCTTTTTTCAGACAAGAGGTAGGAGAATTCTGGGGACCCAGCGAGACAGGCGCCGGTACTGTTGGGCATACATAGTCACTTCGACTAATCGTGAGACCCGCCGATATGAGGCCAAGGCTGAGGACCAAGAACTACGTAGGAACAGGAGGCTTAGCGAGAGACCTTGGCCGCAGACTGCAATAAAGCAGTCGGGGGCCCTCGATAGTGCGGGTTATAGTGCGGGTACCCGGCACAGTGCGGGTGAAAGTGGCTGGCACAGAAGGAAAAATCAAGATGTTTAATACATTGAAATATTGTGGGTTCCCGCAATAGTGCGGGTTCTGCCGCGTGCCACACAACCACTATAGAGGGCTCCCGACTGTACAACGAAGGGGGAAGATGCGTTGACTCGCACGCTCATGCAGCTGCGAAACGGCAAAGGGCATCAGCAACAATCTACGGCGGAGAAAACAATTGACGGAAGGCAGAAACCACCTTCCTTACACTTCCATATTGCAAAAGGTGATGCACCTCGCATGATGCCCGATCAAGGCAACAAACATTTGGGGAGATGTTGGGATTCGCACGGGTCAGCTACCGCCGCACATTTCGAGCGTACCCGAAGGGGTGCCAATAAATGAAGAACAAATCGCGTTTTGGATGTCAGACGTTTTGAGACTACACTCCTTATCACAAGGCAGAAAGAGATGCCCTCGCTCCCCTAAGGAACGAACATGCGGTGGATTTGACGTGCCAGCCGTTATCGTGTTTTTGGACAAAGTCCGTACTACGTACAAAGCCTGTGGGACAACTGAGAGCTACATAATAACTGTGCTGGTGGGTTGACCCAGGCTCGGCATGGCTCCCATTGAAGGCTGATAAAGAAGGAGAAACGGTTTTTTCTGTTGAGGGTCGAGAGTACACCGTTGGCCGGGTTCCGGAACGCAACAAGTGGACACACAGGTACGCTCACGCACGCAAGATTAAGGTTCGTAAAACGAAAATCCACGATTGGAAGGTGGGAAGCACAACTCAGTTCTGTGCTTCAACCTTGACACGGTAAAGACTTCAACAACAAATCCCTTCGAACGGGGTATTTTCTTGAACGGGTATTATTTACTTCTTGGTGTTGCTGTACAGTGTAGACAAATCGAGAGACGAAACATAACCAAAATGAGCACCATAGAAATTGGGTTTCTGTTAGAACGGGTATCTATCTGTAGTACCGTAGTCTTCTGTGATCGTACCCGACAACCAAGGGGAAACTGGCTGTCGAGCATGGGATGGATTCGTGATTCCAAGAGCAAGCCGAACCCCCGTCACAAAGGGAGGCATCTCTACGGGCAGTCCGCGCTACGTCGATCACTCCCGCAATATAGGCCTTGCTTATTCCAATGAAGAAACAGGAACACGCCTGTACGTCTGTCCTTCAGACTCCACCCGCCGATTCAACGCAAAAATCACAGACGTGTACGGTACGTACCAGCCAAACACGTCAGCGGGGAACCGTGTCCGGTGCAGTCCTTACGAGCAAAATTATTTCCAAGAGTCTGGTGATGGTTGCACACGTGCACAACAAACATAACGTCGCAGGTTTGGAGGCTCGTGGTGTGGCAACATCTTCATTGTGGAAGGTGGTCCCCATGATGATGAGGAAATCTCACATGTTGTATGTACCGGACGAAATTAATCTCTCCGAAAACACACGAAACAGAGCTGCAGCCTATATATATAGTCTACGCGGCGACAACGCGGCGACAAGCACCGAAATAATGCAATTACAGCCCAGGAAAGTCAATGACGAGAACTCCGCCCCCTCTCGCGAGGGACACCACCAGGCACGGCAGGCCTCTCAGGCGTCACAGGCGGGGCGATCATGAAACCCACATCCATCCATCCATCCCTCTCCTACTACAACACCGTCTGGAAAACGATGAACGAGCCATCATCGCAGCATCCAGTTGGCCCAAGCTTACAGCCACGGAAGGCGCCCCCGGGCACCTCAATGTTCCTCGGCCCTCACGCTCTAGGCAACGCGCGCTTCGTTTCCGCCGCCAATAGCACCCACGGGGAGGGAGACGCAACGGGGGGCTCTCCTCTCTCCGCGGATACATGCAGCACGCAGTCTGCCTACAGGAGTAGGTGTCTGCCTACAGGAGTAGGTAGAGTAGGTCGTTTCAGCTTTTTAGTCGACAAGTCTACAACTCTGGACTCCTGCTGTACAACACAATCTCACAATCTACAGGCAGTGTACAGGGGAGGGCAAGTTTCGCTTCAAACAGGATGGAAGAGGCGAATTCGGACAGCACAACAGCACCACCACCAAGCGGACACACTACTCCGGGAAACCCCCATCATGTGTGCTTGGGAGGGGCGTGGCATCGGAGTCGTTGGGGTGGATGACCCAACTCCTCGCATGTCATGAGATCCAGACAGAAATGATCCGCGGAAAATGCGTCGAGTATCTGCTCGGGGCGTTATAGATACATGGTTCGGACAATCTCAAACTCTCACCGGCGCGCTCCCCTGCACCTTTCCCAAGCCAGCTACGTGTTCCGCTGCTTCTTTTTCTCCTCCACGTCCCCTGCCACTGCTCCTGCTGCTTCCACTCGCTGCTGCCACCAGGCCAGAGCAAGAGTGTGCGGCGAGACCACTGTGAATGAGGAAGAGGGGGTACGAAGATTGGATTCGTCGTGATGGTGGGGTATGTGGATTCTCCCTTTGGCGGGAACCCCCGCAAGGAGAGGCAAGCATCCACAGCAGACACAGACGGGATCAGGAGGAGCATCCCGACAGAAGCGGGGCGAGGACTGAGCGATCACACGCTTGCAAAAGATCGACAACCATGGAGGACCATTTCTCTCGCATGCTGGATGCCTCAGCCACGGGAAGGTGAAACTCGAGTGAAACTCTGATTCCCCGACCCAAGATTTGCGCTGCTCTCCTCTCTCTGGGACGATGTCTGCCGTTGTCAACCCCTCTGTGATTTGGCATCGCACATCTGTGTGGTTATTCGATCATGACCATGGCGGGACGGCTACGACTTTAGTCCCGTGTTGCACTAGATTCTGTTCGCACGCTGTCTATCCAAGGCTTGGAACACATTGAACTCACTGCACATTCCAGCGTGAGTGATCGCGCGCCCTTGTAGGCGGTAGGATACGCATTAGACTACATTTACAGGTACGGGGGTCGCCTCTCTCTGTTTGCATAACACCGGACATTGTAGGAAATTCTGGGGATCGAATCCGTACTGCTTGGCTGTACGTAGGGGAAAATGTTTGCAACAGAGGGTGATCCGCAAAGTACGGTAGAGGTAAACAAGACTTCACAGCGGTAGCGGTACTACAGCAGTACTTCGGTACAGCAGTACACCCCCGACACACCTGAACAACACACCCGACCCGTTGTATGTTGTGTTGGTTTCCGTCTTGGACGCACAAATGCCAGCGCCGTGCAGGGGACCTACATCCCGGCCCAGCACTTCGAGGGGAAGAAGCTGGGATACTATTTCGCCAAGGGCATCCATGGTCTCGGCTATTACATGGACGCCGCACAAGCGGTAAGAACGGGAGATGAGACGTGTGCATATACTTGACGGAGGATGATTGCAAAGGACACCCTGGACCAAATCTTAAAAGCTCGATTAAGCCCACCATGAAGACGATGCCAAGGCCTAACGACGATTTTTCGGAACGCGTCTCCACGGGACAGTTCCAACTCCGCCAATTCGCAGTTTTCTCTGCAGAGTATTCAACCTTGGAGAATCGGTCCATGGGGGGTGGTATCTTGTATAACGTACGGTGCGTATCTTCATGGCACGCCGGCATGGGGCTGGTGCGTGCGAGTCGCTCTAGGCAAGAAACGTTGACACTCACCATGGCATGCTGGTACTGAAGCTCAAGTCGTGTTTCCCCTCCGATGTGTGCAATCGTCATCTCATGTGTACCTGTGTGACATTTTAGAGATTGTACCTCATGAAAGAATGTTTCTACGCACCAGCTGAGGTGAAACAGCAGGGAGGCCACGCAGAAGTGGTTGGTTTTGTTTTGGGGGGGGGAGGCTGCCCATCGTCTTTCTGCGGTGCTTGCCTCGACCATTACGGCGAGAGAAAGACTTGAGACTTCGCCGCCCCAAACCATAGTCGCCCGTGACATGGACGTCTGTGTGAACACGAGAATTGAGTGCTCTCCACTTTGTTGGCCATGGTGTGACAAAGAATCCCAGTGCGTGTGACTGGGCTGTAGCGCCGAGGCCCGAACTCACGTATCCAATGTCAGAATGCGGTATTGGTTAGTGATTGAAACATACGGGGCGAACCGGCAAAACATCCGCGTTTGCCGGGAGGCGACAACATTTGGTACCACGCTTGAGGGCTTCCCCATCGTTGCCGCCATACGGGCGAGGAAATCACTCACCCTGCAGTATATCTCGGTACCAGGTAGCAAGCAGGGCGAGAGCGGGAACCGAACGATAGCCTGCCTTTCTTTCCCTCCCACCCATGTCGAGTCTATAGTGCTCTCGTTCGAAGCGTCGTGCGGCATTCGTCGTCTGGCGTTTCATGAGGCGACCCCAAGACGTGATACAAAAGGCCTATGTTAAGGAGGACCAGATTCGCAGGGTATCCGTCGATTGACTTTTACCAGAATCGGTACACCTTCGCACCTACGAGTGATGATTCTTTTCCCACCAAGGGTGACAAATCGCGGGGGGGGGGGGGGGGGGGGATGGTGTCCTGCTTGCTTGGGGGAGTGATGCGATGGTGCAGCTGGCGCATGTCTGTGTCTGACGCAAGACGCGTGCGATGTATACGTTTTGGCGTGGTTTACTATTGGCAGAGCGACATCATGGACAACGACGGCGAGGGGACGGCAAGCAGGAAGCGGGCCAGGGAAGAGGACGACGAGGCGGGGCGCGACCTCCAGAACACGGGAAAGCAGGATCCCGTAAGGTATGCGGGCGTGACTGGGGACGTGCGGACCAAAGGCCATATCCCGTTGATTACAGCGGTGACATGGGGCATGTTCAAGGCTGGTTGAGTGCCCGGTGTTGATCTCGGATTTTTTGTCTTGTGTCCAATGCGGATGGAGGAAGGCATGGTGTGTTCGTCTCTCGCGAAGTGGGCCGATATGATCGCCGTTCTATGTTGCGCGGTGCACTTCACAGAGCGGCTTCCCGGCGGCATCTTGTTTCGATAGCTGCGGAACGCAGGCCCTCGGTGTGCGCGCATGTAACGGTGAACACAACAAGAGTGCCTTCGGCACCTTTGAGGCCTGGCGTTCCATTGAACGCCTACAGTATTTACAGGGGGTTTTCGTCGACATGTCGGAACGCGACAGGTTCGAAGACATGGCCCTGGAGGATCTCGACGAGGAGGCGATTGCCAGGATGCTGGAAGAGGCGGATAAGGAGGAAGTGAGCGAGTTGGACGCCACGGGAGTTAAGCAGCTGCTGTTGCTGCTAGAGCGCAAGATCAACCGCAACCAGATGATGCGGGTAAAGTTCCCCGAGCAGCCGGCGAGGTTCGTCGACTCCGAGGTAATTTTTTTTTTTTTTCCGTACAAAAAACTAGGCAAATCCATATCCATCCACACACGTAGAGTTCAGGATGGCATTGTCTGTGAATTCATAATGTGAGGTTTTGGTATTCCGGAAACTCGTGTGTACTCTGGGGGCGACCTGTGGGTGTGGTGGTGTAGAAAAGGCGACAAGAAGGTTATGTGTGTTGTTGGAGGGGGGGTCCTGCATCCGAGGTGAGTGTGGAATCAGCTGGATGTGAACGCGGATGAAGCAGCGCTGCTGCTGGTGGTTGTCGCGATCGGTGCTGCCTGCGCTGTGATGTGCCGGTTTGGGCTGCGCGGCATGATGTGTGTTCTATCGGGCGTGGCTCCATTCCGTTGAGTAAGTGATTGCCGCCATTGCTGGTTGTACCGACACGTTTCGGGGGTTCGGCGGCGTGTCGCAGTTATCGTCGGCCTTTTGCGATGAAAAGATGTTCGCAAATCGATGCCTTGTCTGTCGAGTTCACCAGTGGTGGTCCGTCCCGATATATCGCGTGTAGAGACAGACGAAAATCAACGCGAAGTATCGGGACCCGCGCTTTGGGCAAGGCACCGACCGCTTCAGTAGGCTATTATAGGTTGTTGTGCCAAGGAATCCATACCGCGATACGTCAGCAACCGCGCTGTTTGGGACCACGATGTATCGGAACCGCTGCGACACCGACATCGCCAACGTTGTGCACCGCAGGTTGAACTCGACGCAGCAATCAAGAGTCTCTCTGTCGTAGCCGCCGCGCCGGAGCTTTACCCCGCTTTGGTTGACGCCGGAGCCGTGAATTCCTTGCTTGGGCTATTGACCCACGACAACACGGTAAGCGTTTTTTTTGCTCGTGGGAAAGAGGGCCACCACGCGTGGGCATAGGAAGGGTTGATAATCATGTACACTCGCGAACGAGTTATCAGGAAGTATGCACGACTTTGGTATTGCGGACATTCTGACGGTAGTAACTCTCGGTCGGTGTCCCGGCTTTTGTTGTACCGTCAGTGCTGGCATCGTGCAAGAGAGCTTGTACAAGCCATGTTGTGCAACGTGTCACCGGAATTTGCATGACCTCGGGCAATACCTGCCGCACCTTGCTCTGCCCGCGATGATACCCAGCAAACATCCGAACCTCTTACAGAAACCTTTTCTAGGTGTAGAAAGGAGCCTTGGGGCTCCGGGAAATGTTGGTTGTTTGCTTAACGTCGTGCCGCTTGTCCTACACCCCACTGAACCTTGGTTGATACTACCCGGGTGTGAAACTGCAGCCCCCCCCCCCTCTTTCTTGGTGGCGCTCTCTCGACGTCTTACTTTCGTCACTCTTCCTCCAGGACATCTCCATCACCGTGCTGCTGCTGCTGCAGGAGCTGACGGACTCGGACGTTCTGAGCGAGAGAGAAGAGGCATCTGTAATCGTCGACGCGATCGTCGACAAGCTGGTGCGTGTGCTCCTCTCCCCCCCTTCCCCCCACTCACAGCTTGTACCCTTCGGGGTGATGATGATGCACCTCCCCGGCTTGTTGTCATCATCCGGTTTGTCTTGAGGGTGTTTTCGGCAACTCGAGAGGTGGGTCTCCTATCCGATGGCAGTGCAGTACCAGTCCTGCTTTACTAGGCTTGGTCATGATTTTTGCCCCATCCCTTCCGGGTTGGCAGTAAAATGGTTTCTTCTGGGTTGGCAACAAAATGATTTCTTCCGGGTTGGCAGTAAAATGGTTTCATCCACACGCGCACGAAAGCGCGCGCGTCGGTGTCCTCAGGCGCGTGCGCGTTGCTCTACCAGTGCTGTTGCGTTCACTGCTCCTGCTTCTTGTGGGCCTTTGCTTCTTATTCCTCGAAGGTCTAGACTACCCTGATTGATCGGCCCTTCTCTTGTTGGTCGTCGGTTTCAGGCCTGCCGGGTGCAAGGCAGCTCCTCGTCGATCGATTCGACGTGCTTATTATAATATGGTATGGCTTACGGCCCAGCATGCCCAAGCAGAGCTGGAGGAAGAGGGACGGGATTAGCGTGGAGCCGGGCCTAATTCCCCGACTGTGTACGTACGCCTACAGAGTGCTGCTGCTGTGTTGACTGAGTTGTTGTTTTTCCTCATTTCTGCGCCAGGGCCTGGAGCTGTTGGTACAAAACCTTAGCCGGCTGGACGAGTCCAACGAGGAGGATGCCAAGGGCGTCAACACCACCATGGGGGTGCTGGAAAACCTTTTGGAGGTACCGCTAGCTGCTGCGTCGGTTTGCGCGCTTGTTTCGTTGTTGTTCATGCCATGTATATTCCCGTCGTTACAACAGCAGTAGTCTGCGCTGTGGTGGTCTTGAGTGTTTCTCGAAGGAAATGCTCTGATCCGAATCCGGCAGCAGAATCCTTCGAGCCTGTGCGATTCATTTTGTCGGTGTGAGTTCCAACCATCACCACGACCATCAAGAGCAAACAACCACCGACGATGACAAGGGCAATCCAACTCTTGCATACACAATGCCAACAACTCAGGCACGTCCAACCCTGGGACCGACGCTGTGCGAGCCGCCGATGAGCGTGCTGCGGTTCCTGCTGAAGAGGCTCCAGGTGAAGAAGTTCGACGAGAACAAGCTCTACTGCTCCGAGATCCTGGCCATGCTCGTCAACGGCGACACGGACGTCCAGAAGAGACTGGGCCTGTTGCAAGGTGAGCCAGCCAGCCGGCCGCAAAACAAGCCGCGAAAAATGGGAAGAAGGGTAGAAGAGAGTCGGACAGGTCGCGCGCGATGCGAGGTGAGCCAGCCAGCTGCGAAGAATTGGTAGAAGGGAAGAGTCCAAGAGACTGGGCACGTTGCAATGTGACCCAACCAGCCGCAAAAACAAGCCTCGACAATTGAAGAAGGAGAGTCGAAGAGGCTACAAGCCTGGGCGCGTTGCGGCGTGAGCCAGCCAGCCGCAATAAACAAGCCGCGAAAATTGAAAGAGGGAGAGTGGAAGAGGCTGGGCTCGTTGCGACGTAAGCCAGCCAGCCGCAAATAAAAAACAAGCCGCGAAGGAAGAATCGGTAGAGGAAGAGTCGACCGTCGGGTTTCCCGAAGAGTGTGAAACGGAGGCTAGCGTGCTGCCCGGTAACGAGTCCCGGCTTTTGACAACACCAGGAGAGTCTCTGCTAGCAGCAGAGGATGAGTGGTATGCGTACGTATGCCTTGCATCGTCGCCATGCATGCCCCTGCGCGGCGCGAATATTTGCTCTTGCACTTGTTGCCTTGTTGCTTTTATATGTTTGCATGATCTCGCGTTAAGAACGGAAGGCAAGCACCGCCGGAGGGGTGGGTAGGGTAGGGGGCCGCAGGGAGAGGAACCCTTCTGTGTGACCACGGGCTGGAGCATACCGCACAAAATGCTGTGAGCGCCGGGCTGTGGTTACGAAACGACCAACAAGTATCGTAATGGTTTGGAATGCTGGCGGTGTTTCGCGGGTGTGCGTGTGCAGGGATGGACGGCATCGACCGGCTGCTGCAAATCGTGGCCTACTACCGCCGTCGCCAACCCCAGTCTCCGGAGGTGAGCCGTAGAACACACGTGAAAGTCCCTCCATCAGCATGCGCCACTCATTTTGTCCAACGGTTCGGGATTTTTTGTGGTGGTGTTGCTGTCTCTTGTCGGTTTTTCGGCAAACGATAGACGGAGTGTGGCACCTTCAGCCCTTGCAGATGCATACATCGCCTTTGGTAGTTAGCTCTAGGTGTATCGAAAAAAAAAAATATATATATAGGGACATTTGGGTAGTTGTGTATAATATAGTACGTTTTTTTTTTGTGTGTGAACGATATGCACTAGCCCCTCCCGACCCGCTCATGACGGTTGTCCTTTTTCGATGCGATGCGTCTCGTTTCAATTCGCCCAAACTCTAATATTTTTGCTTTCCGATATTCGTAGGGACTTAGCTCACAGACCCGATCTGCGAGTCGTTCCCGGAAAAATAGGTTGACCTTTTTCTTTTCCCAGCAAGCTTTCAGAGCGGTATTAGCTCCTTAGTGCCTGAGCGCCTTTAGCGCTCTTCTCCCCAGTTTTGCGTCCAAGAGAGACTTGAGAGATCCAACCTCGAAAAGCATCTGCACCATCTTGCACTTGCTCGTGCGTTTTTCGGGCTTTTGTTGGTTCCCCCGCGTTCTTGGCGATTGGTTCCTGTCGATGGCTCTTGGGGGCCACGAAATGCCGCGCTGCCTGCCTGAGGGACCGACTGGCTTACTGACTGAATGACCGACTGCTTGCATTCCTTCCTTCCTTCCTTCCTTCCTTCCTTCCCTTCCCTCCTTCCTCGGGCCTCGCTGTTGCAACAACCACGGCAGGAAGAGGAGTGCGTCGAGAACTTGTTCGACGCCCTGGCGGCGGCGCTCTTGGTTCCGGACAACCAGCAGCGGTTCCGCAAAGGTGGGCGGGATGGGTGTCCCCGATTGCTTGGATGACGTTGAATCGTCGATTTATGCACCGCAACAGCCTTTTCATGGAAACATACATGCAATCGCAGAGAGGCTGCCCGTTCGAGATACTGTACAAATATCCACAGCCTTTTTTGTTTTTGGGGGTTGTTAATAAACGATGAGAAAAGGATTGATGTATCTCCTGTGTGTATGGTTTTGCTCTGTTGTGGGGGTAGGTTTTTGTTTTTCACCAGCGCTTGTGTGAGTCGCCGACGATGGCATCCAAGGTCTCGCTTGAATCGTGTGTTCTTGCGCCGGCAGTCGCTCTGGTTTTCGAGGCGATACTGATGACGGACGTGCGGTGTTTTGGGTGTTTTTGGTGACGGTGGTTTCGTCGTCGGCGATAGTCGTGGGGTGGCCGTGGTCGTTGGGTGGTGTCTCGCAGAATGGCGCGTAAGAGTGCTTGCTTTACAGCTCTCTGTAGCCGATCGCATGCACACCCATTGCCCACACCGCAGGTGAGAGGTTTTCTGCCCACGGTACCGTCCGTAGAGTGCTATCAGTGTGGTGTTAATAACAATCTTCGAAAATTACGACGCACCCCCATACACATTGCACCGAGCCTAACGGGTATTTGGAAGGTTCTTGTGCGAGAATCCAAAGGTGTCAATATCAACGAAGTCCTCGTTCACGACATGCTCACGCCAATGTTGTGGTTGTACATTGTACATACCGTGTGCATAGGTGACGAAAGATGTCGCAGCCCCTTGGGACTGATTTTCAAAGCTCGATTGCTCCACAGCAGAAAGAAGGGGGTGCCGAAAAATGGCGGCGTTGTCTCGTCGAGGAGAGCTTTTCCGACAACATGTCATGATGTTACATCCTCTTCATTGTGGAGATATACAGTATTGGAAATTGAGCCTGGGGGGTGATATCTAACGTCGAATTCGGTACGTTTTTTGCGTGTAATCCCAGGCGAGGGTTTCGAGCTCATGCTTCGGTGCTTGCGAGAGAAGAAGCACGCGGCGTGGTGTGCGGTGAAGGTGCTAGACTTTGCCCTCACGGACGACAGCAGCAACTGCGAGAGGTGCGCTGCGCGCGAAACACGAGGATACTGCTGCCTTCTTGCCCCTTTCTCTACTGTTATGTCAAAGAGTCAAGGCTGTTATGACAGGGTCAAAACTGTATCCAAGAGTCAAGACTATCATCAAAGGGCCGAGACTGTATCAAAGAGCCAAGCGACACTATTATAATATTATCAGAAACGTTGTTTAGCTCAGGCTGCTGGCCTTGGGTGAGTGGTTCAGGCGGGGAGTAAATATTTTCTCGTACACACCGCGTGTAGCCAGTCGGACGTTTGTGTACCCGCATTTTATTTTCTTGCCGATTTCCGTCGCCTTGTCACAGTGCACCCCGTGTACGTCATTAAGTGCCAAATTTATCTTTGTTGGACACGAGGTCGAACCTTGTCGTTTCTACTTTCGCCGCTCGCTGATGGTCGCTGTTTTCCGCGGCGGGTGGTTGGCACCCTTTGAGTGAGGTTTGTTTAATGACAAGGCACCATCATCAGTCCCTGCCACCAAAAGGCGCGGAACCCAGCCGGGTACGTTTCAGAGTGGGAAGCACCGTGTTGAAAAGCGGCGACAGCAGTGTCAGCTCTTCCACGGCTGGTGATGCTGCTGCCTCCCCCACACATCCCACGCCCCGTGGTACCTATCATGTTCTTCTCGATACGATGCAAAAAAATGCGCCGCTTCTATGATGACCCTCGTGTCGGTGACGACTCGTGCCTGAACCAACCCCCCCTCTGCTGCTCTGACACGCGGGATCTGGTCTGCCACGTCCGTGTTGTGTATGCGTCGTTTTACGGTATGGTGTCCGTGCGGGGTGTCGAAACGGCAGGCTGGTGGAGGTGGGCGGGCTGAAGGCGGTGCTGCCCGTGTTCATGGGGAGGGGCGCCGCGCGCAAGCTGCGCCAGAAGGTACGTACTTGTTTTGATGCCTACCACGGAACCCCCCCCCTCCCCCCCTAGTGAATCTCTCAGCGATTTCGAGATGGGTGACTGACTGCTGGGATGACGTGTGTGTGTGTTTTTGTCGGCGGAGGAAGCATTTGGCGAGAGCCTATGGGGTGTGTGTGCCCTCTAGGACCGAAGCCCACAAGCTGACAGGATATACCGCATGAACAACCCCCATGCCCTATTCAGCATTTTTTCAGCTCCATGCGACAAGAGCCAACCGCAGTACCTCGACCAATCGACCCACCCAGGCGACAGGGGATTATCGGTCTCAGATTAACTGGAAAAAAAAATTATGCCTGTACAGGCTCGTCGACGAAGAGATTCGAACTCTCGCGGGCATAGCCCAACGGCTTAGCAGGCCGTCACCTTAACCACTCGGCCACGTCGACCCTGCAGGCGATGTGTTACGGAGAACATTTGTTACATACATACAAGGGCGCTTTGCGGACGACCGCTATTGGCGGTCGCCGCTGCGCTCGTAGGTTGCATGGCGATGGCAAGTGTGTGGGTGGAGAGTTTGGAGATGAGGGGGAAAATTATTGGCAAAATAGCGTTATTTGTTGTAAAGAGGATGGATATGGAATCAGGTTCTCTTGGTACATTCGAGGTACATTCGATAGCAAATGCCGCAGGGCTTACAACGAAACGGTGAGGTGCTTTGAACGTGGTACGCGTAGAAGATGAAATCGGGTACTCTTGCACCGCTCAACATCCTTTGTAGCCCCAGGGTGTGACGACCGTGTACTGCTGTGAAGCTCGAGGGTGTGACTCCTCTAGCATCGGGCAATGGTCCTATACCCGAGGCACAAAACATCCGATAGCAAACGCCGCAGCGTTAGTAATGAAACGGCGCGGTACTTACAATATATGATACGCATAGGCAAAAAATGCCTTTATGAAATCGGGTACTCTTGTACATCCGAGGTGCAATCGGGTACTGCTCAAAATCCGATAGGAAACGCCGCAGCGTCTATAATCATACGGCGATGTACTTACAAAATGAAGACGGTTAATCGGCACTCTTTACACCTCACGCGTAGAAGACAAAGAAATCGGGCACTCTTGTACATTTGAGTTGCGATCGGGCATCGCTCAACATTCGATAGCAAACGCCGCAGGGTTTGCCGCAGGGTTTATAATTATACGGTGAGGTACTTACAACAGTACTTACAACATGAAGACGGTAAATCGGCACTCTTCCACGTCCAAGGTACGCGTAGAAGACAGAGAAAATCGGGCACTCTTGTACATTTGAGTTGCGATCGGGCATCGCTCAACATCCACTAGCAAATGCCGCAGGGTTAATAATTATACGGCGAGGTACTTACAACAGCTTACAGCATGAACACGGTAAATGGGCACCTCCAAGGTAGGCGTAGAAGACAAAGAAAATCGGGCACCCTTGTACATTTGAGTTGCGATCGGGCATCGCTCAACATCCATTAGCAAATGCCGCACAGTTTATGATCATATGGCGAGGTACTTACAACATGACTACCAAAGACTTTCTAGTCCCGGGGTGTGACGACCGTGTACTGGTGTGCAGCTCGAGGGTCCTATATCCGAGCACAAAAAATGCTTTTATGAAATCGGGTACTCTTCTATTACATCCGAGGGGCTCGGGTACTGCTCAACATCCGACAGCAAACGCCGCAGCGTTTAAAATCATACGGCGATGTACTTACAAAATGAAGACGCTAAATCGGCACTCTTCAACCTCCATGACACTAACAGCTTTGTACCCCGAGGGTGCGACCACCGTGTACTGCTCTAATGCCCGAGGGTGTGTGACTACTCTAGCCTCTAGCCTCGGGCAATGGTCCTGTACCCGAGGCACAACAAATTCAACGCTCGCAGGCAAGCTATCTATCTATAATAGCCGCAGAGAGTATAAGTAAAGATCTCCGCGGCGTACCGCTTCGCGGTCGCCGCTACGCTCGTAGGTTCAATGGCGATGGCAAGTGTGTGCGGGTGGAGTTTTGAATGAGAGATACGAAAAAAAATGCTGCGAAGAGGGAAACATTTGTTTGTTTGTTCGAAGAGCAAAGACGCACAATGACTATATTCATATGATACGCGACGACCGGAGGACAGAGTATTTAATTGCTCGGAGTAAGAAGTTTGTTTTTCAGAAACAAAGGCTCACTTTCCACGAAAAAAGTAGGAAAATAGGGTTACGTAACATAATAGCTCCACCTGGCCCACACCATAGAAGAAACTTCTCAATAAGAAAACAGAGGAGCGACCCCTAAAATGCTCTACTATTCATAAGACACGAAAGGGGTTACTGGGGGGGGAGTGTGTCGAATAATAAAACTGAGAAAGAAACATCAAGCAACCAGCTTTTCTCTCTCTTCCCCCCCTCTCTCCCATGTGCTACCCACCCCCTCAGCGAGACGTTGTAGCTGAATAAAGTTCGCTACTTCTCGGGTGTGCGGTCTTCGTATGTGATGTAATGTACAGCCGTCGGTGATGAGAATCGGGGTTGAGTACGGGAGGCGAGGAAAAGCAGCGCAAATCATTACGTATGCATACGGTAGTTTTTTTACTTTTTGCAGCACGTTGTGTGTAAGCAAAAGCAGAGAAAAGCAGACAACTTTTTCTGCCGATTTATGAAAATATGGAAACCCACAGCAGCAGTAGCATTTCTCTATGTTCTGCTAGAGGGTTTTGGGAGTCAGATGACTGTAGAAGTTCATGTGTCGGTGTGTAGAGTGTTGGTGGGATGCGGAGCATGTCCCGGTAGCCGCTCTACAATAAAGTGCGGTAGGTATCCAGAAGATATTTCCGGAAAAAAAAAGAAAGTATTTCCATGAAACGGATTATTTTATTTTCTCGGGCGGGTGTAGTTTTGCAGACAGCTGTGCGCACGACACTGGCCGCTAACCCCCCCGCCTTTCGCCTGGATCAAAAGGGAGACGCACTACAGCAGTAGAGTACTTTGTCTCGTCTCATGCGGAGACTTGGCGGCTTGGTTGTCGTGTGTGGCAGGGTGTGTGGTGTGTAGCCAGCGCACACGCACAATCCACGTCAGCCGCTTGCCGAATGTATGTATGAGTGGCCTGCACTGTCAATAAATTGAGGTGCTATTGGTGGAGGCATGGTAGATCTCGGAGACGCAACTTTCCGCCCTCGGTAGCGCTCGGGGACGGGCAGTCCGACGGCGATCTCAGCGCTGCCAACGCTCTCGCGGGCCGGGGCTGCCGGCAGAAGCGATTCCCGCGGCGAACGGAGGTGCATGGGCGGAGAAATTCGCAAAAAAGGGGCTCTAGGCTCACGAGAGCATCAGGATTGCATTTCCTGCGATCTCGTGAGCCCGCAGCCCGTAGGAAATTCGTCTATAGGTCTATTGTTCCACCCGTGTCATTGATGGGGTAAGGAGGCGCCCATCCTTACTTTACCTTCCTCATTGCTTAACATTTGTTACATACATATTGTACTACCCGTGTCATTAGTGGGGTAAGGAGGCGCCGCCTCGCGCAAGGAGGCGCGAAACCATAACCTTCCTCATCGCTTAGACGTTTCCTGAGTGCTTATCCGTTAGAGAAAATGCTGCACTTGACCCTCAGGGGAGGGCAGGAAGAAAAAGTGCAATCGAGATGCACATAACATACGTTGCTGTACGAAGCACGGCTAAATACAACGTCAATTTTGTTTCTCGCGGTGGTTCTTTATTTTTTCCTTGCAGGTACAGTAGTACATAACGTAGGTTGCCTAAGATACCACACCCCCTGGATCGATTTTCAAAGCTCGATTACTCCACGACGAAGTGCATGACGAGCTCAAACGATACGTTTTCGGAAAGCTTTCGACGAGACGACGGTTGCAACGCCTCCCGCCATTCTCGGCGCCTTCACTGTTTTTCCTGCTTAGAAATCGAGCTTTGAGAACCGGCCCAGGGGGTGTGATATCTTACGTCATGCAACCTACGGTATATGCGTGTGACACAGCCAGTATGTATCTCGTGCACATAAACAGCACTGCCGTGCCATATTGCGTATGTCTACTTCATGAACACCTGACGTGACATCCGCCATATGGCCAGAGCCCCATTCTACTGTTTCGGGACACCGCCTGCTGTGTCGTCTAATGAGCGTGACATCCTCCCACATTTTGCAGAAACAATGCGGGAGAGACGCTCCTGGTTGATGTTCCGTCATTTCTCTGTGATTGTTTTGTTTTTATTTGTGTTTTTGCAGAAGCGAAAGGCGAAAGGAGAGAGGAACGCTCTGGAAGAACACGCAATTTCCATTGTAACGAGGTGATGTTGTCCTTGATCCCAATTGAAACTGTGGTGGAATTATCGTTGATGCTTTTTGATGTGATCCTTCATTAGCAGCAGAAATTCTGCGATGGGCCGCTAATCCATGAGGAATTGTTTTTGCCGACAAAACGTTGCACTGCATATGTAAAGGACTGCTGTGTACAGATTTGAGATTCGCTGGGCTCTTCGATCCAAAGACTCCAGCTTTTGTGTGAGCTGTTGAGATTGGAAACGTCACAACCAACTGGCATCTGGCGGCCAACTGTGGGCTGGTCCAGCTGCGTGCTTTTATCGTTTCATCTTGCAACGCCCTTTCTGTGTGTGTTTTTATTATTCCTTAAATCTTGCAACACCCCTTGATGACACTGCTGTGCTCTCATGAGCCGTCTCCGGTGGGATCACTCGAATATTTAAATTACTCGATATTTCAACGGATTTATTTGGTGCTGTGAAAGGCTTCCCGCCTTTTTATTCAAAATTCCCATTGAACAATCGTTGTCGTTGCAACATGGACGTAAACATAAAAAACAGCTTCGCCGTCCACCTTGAGGATCGCCCGGAGCACGAGTGCCTGACCCGTTTCATCTCCAAGTTCATGGAGGCAGGCATGGAGAAAGTGGATCGGGTCATGGACCTCTACATGGAATACTCAGACAGGTAGGTCGGTGGGAGTGATTAAAAGCCGCCAAGTGCGGCGGTATCTAGTGAAAGCTGAACCGCAGAGTAGGATGTTCCCGGCCGCACGTGTCGTTGCTGCTGTTGCTGTTGTTGTTGCTTTATTTTCGGCTTCATAGTATCTACGATCAGAGGTTGTCTGCCCCGGCAGCAGCTGTTTCTGTTTCGTGTGCGTCTGCCTGCTTGCGCTCCCGTATGCTAGCTTGCCTTTCGAAACACGACGAGATACTAATAGTGGAGGATTGGCCACGTCAGCCCAGAACCCTCTTGTGTTGTATTTCGTGCGAGACAACTATAATACAGCAATGGCACTTGACCTTTATCAAAGGCACTCGTCGTCGCCAACGACAACAATATACTATATCCCTCCCCGTCGCGAAACGTCGTACACACGAAATGAAAAAAAATCACTACGCAGGGTAGAGCAGTTCGAGGCGAACGAGCAACAGAGGGCCGCTAGGGACGAGGAGGAAGGAGACAGCGATGACGACTCCGAGACGCTCGAGTCTCGCAGACTGGAGGCGGGGGCCTACACGCAGCAACGCCTGGCCGTCGTCATGGTGGTCATCGCCGCGCACAGCTCCGCGGTCGCCCGGAGGATAAACGAAAAGCTGCACCAGGTGGGGTCCTGCTTTGGTGTCTTCTACATGCCCCCGCCGCCGCCGATGTGTGCGATGCGTCAATGTAGGCATGCCACGCGAATTACCGCTCGCTGTGTGTGTGTGTGTGTGTGTATGCGTGCGTACCCCTGCTGCGGTGTACTGCTGTGCGTGCTAAGTTGGTGCGCCGTCCCGTTTTTGTCCGGTCGCCTGTGTGTGCGCAACCTCTCTCATTGGGGTTGGTGGAGGTTGCGCCGCCCAGCCTCGGCGGAAACGTTTGTTGCCAATGGTTTGGGCTGATTTACGCCCAGAAAATAAGCGGGATGATAAGAGAAACAGAAAAATCGCTGTGTGCTGCACGGGATATCGTGGAAATACAGGTAGCCTTAGGTGACGCTATGGATTCATTGCTAATCTGTCGTAAGACTCTTTGTATAGATAGAGATGGATTCTTTGTGTTTTATTAAGAAAAAAAAACTCAGTCGGTCTGGCAACCGCCCGTCCCCTAACCACCACCGCCACCGCCGCTAACCCTTCTGCTGTAGCTGACCGACTGCTCCCTCCCCTGGCTCCGGGCGCCGCGCGTTGCCTCCCTCCCCTTGTCGTCTTGGCGCTCCTCCTCCTCCTCCTCCTCCTGTATATACATTCATGGTCTGCTGAAATATATTAGCACGGTTGGAGGCTCGGGCACGTCCGAGCGGTGCTGGAGAAGTACATCCAGAACCTCGGCCCGGGCTCCCGCCAGCGCGGACGCCTGGAGGCGCTCCTCCCGGACGCGGAGACAGAAGCACCAGCAGCACCAGGAAGCACCGGCGCGGGTAGTAGTAGTGGCGACGACACGCCGCCTCCGCCGCCGGCTGACGACGACGATGATGATGTGGACATGAATGTTGAGGATGGTGGCACGCCGCCGCCGCCGCCGCCGCCACCGCGGCGTTCGGCGTCCCCCCCCCCTCCGCCGCCTCCGCAGGATGATGGCGACGACAAGTCCCCGGCGCGGCCGCCACGCTCGCCCCCGGGTGCCGACGGCGGAAGCGGCAGTCGGAGGAACGGCGGCGGCGGGGGGGGGGGGAGGGGCTCCCAGACCGGGATGGCGGGTTCTGAGGAAAAGAACCGGGGCGGGGGAGACCCCCCGGGGGGAGGGGAGCGGGATCGTGACAACGACAGCCGAGGAGGACGGCGCGGTGGTGATGGTGAAAGGCGGGGGGACAGGAGAGGGGGTGAAAGGAGGGGGGACAGAGGCAGGGATGACCGCCGTGACGACAGGCGCCGGTAGACGTAAAACTCAGCCGCGGGTAATTTTTTTTTTTTACGGCTGGCTGTGCCCCTGTTACTTTGAGGCGGTCGGTCTCGCAAGGCTAACCGCCGTGTCTGTGTGCGCGCTGGAGATGGGTCGAGTCGACCAGGTGGAGCAACTCTTGTGGTTGCCGACCGCACCTAGCAACGGATGTAAAGGAGACGATAGCTGAGATTTGAGACGATGCGAAGCGCCATTAAAGCACCGTATCAACGTATTTCGGTGACGTGCTGTGCGGGTGAGGTTGCGGAGATCCCAGCCCCAGGCGATGGTTTTCGTCCTTGTCGGAACGGCGAGTACTGTTACGAACGAAGCAGTATCGCCAAGTGATGCACGCTTGTTGTGATATACAGTAGCATGTCTCTGGATAATGAGCGAAGACCCTAAGCTAGTGTTTCACATCGTGCATGTACGACGTGCGTACTGCTGTAGAGGTGGGGGAAGAAGAAGAATGAAAAGGATTTGTTTCTGGTGCCTAGGAAAACCGCATCCAGAAGTTGGGAACACTGCCGTCTCTCCTTGCTGGATGAACACGTACCATAGTACTGGGCCCTCTATAGTGCAGGGGTGTGTCCAGAGATTTACCTGCACTTACGGGGCACCTGCACTATTCAGAATCGAAGAATAAATAGGTTTTATGCATAGTTTTCCAGCTTAAATCTGTCATTGGCACTATACCGGGAACCTGCACTATCGAGGGCCCAGCTGTACGTAGCTGTATGTGGAATGCGGGATTTTCCAAGCAGCACCTACCCGTGCTCTTCCGAAGGCTGTTGTATCGGAGGCAACTTCACTGGACCCTGGTTAATTTGCTACGAAGGCGTAGGAGTGGGGGGGACGTTCTCTGGCGGTGGGGGGGGGCGGGGCTACTGCCGTACCCCCGGACTACTTGACAAACGTATCCGGAAGTCGTCATGTTTCCGCACGAAAACTAGTCGATACATACATACATCTCGCTTCCCGATGATGATGAAATTTTGGCATGTTCTGCTGTGTGGTCTGCATGTTATATAGATAGATGTGCATGATTACAGCAGCACGGGAAGGATACACATGTACTTGCCATTTCTTGAGCACCATATAAAGCCGGAGGCGAACGCCTGAGATTGGTGTCGCTGGTGTAGTCTCGCCTCTGCACTATTTGTATGCGCTGGATTTAGTCTACACATCGATCGATCGATTGTTACTGCTGTAAAGTCTATCCGGGACGTTTGTAGAATACTTTGCAGAGACAGGACGGAAACACATGCAGTTTGCCCTTTACCCGCTACAAAAGGAACAAGGAACTGCTATGCTTTCAAGAGGATTGATTTTGTCTCATCTATGGATAGAAATTGATCTATTCTAATTGTCGCACGTAGACTGATACTTGGACTAACATAAGAAAGAGAATAAAAATGAAATGACTCTGTGTGTGTGTGGTATTGTCTCGAACGGGTGGTCTTTCTATGAGATCATGTGTACCTTATAAAAATGAAATAGGCATAGCAACACTGGTGATCTGCTGTTGTTTCGGATCTCTCCTTGTTTGAGATCGCGTGACAAAGTATATCCGAACCAATGAGCACTGGGAATCCTCCCACGCGGAGCACCGACGACATGGTGTGCGGGCGACTCAACAGGCACCCCCTGGGAAACCTCCTCATCATACTTCAACCGCTGCTGACAGCATTATTACTATTGTAATATCATAGAATAGACTATTCAGTCATCTTCCACAGCTTGTAGCAGCTAGCTGTAGACGAATAGTATACATACATACGTACAAGCTGGGCCAGCCAAAAGCTCACTTTCGTTGTTTCGCGTCTCATGCTGTCGTTTCCACGAAGAAATTAGGCTTGAAATTTGGTGGTTACTCTTCTTATGAGACAATAACTATGCACAAGGCACGGAACACGGCGCAGCAGTCGCGGAGGACCCAGCGAAGATAAGAGGAGAGGCACAAGCCAACGTGTGCCACCACACTTTCCGTTCATTGTCGAAAATAATACATGGATCATTCGAATCCAGTGTGTCCCGGCTGCTCAGTTGCATATATATATAGTCTATATATATGTCACGGTCTATCTACAAGAAACAAGCAAGAGCCGGAGAGCCTAATGAAAAAAATATATATGGGGGTGTTTGATTTAATTCATTGTTTTTGGGTTTGGGGAGTACATAGGGAAAACAACGCATATGCCAGAATTTTTCGAATCCGAGTTGATTTAGGTATTAAACGATCAATTGGCGGCGTAGTGGGGGATACTTCGGTGGTAGTGAAATCAGCATGAAAAAAGTTTCACAGAATAATAAATAATAAATAAGCTGAATTTGGTGTGCGCTTACTACCTGGGAGCATCGCGAGAAAAATGGAAGTAAATAAGGCGCGTACTACATGTATGTAGTAGGTAGTTGCAAGGCTCACACCATCTTCCATCAAGAGTTACGGCCTCGAAAAGAATCCGATACAAAACACAAGATAGTTAGGGACAGACATGTATGTATGTGAGGTTATCGCAAAATGCATCACGGTTTTTACGAGTTGGAATCTGAATTTTTGACATACTATACATACATGTGGTTGGTATTGATTGTTAAAACCAATACTACAACTAACTGCTAGGTAGCCGTTTTTAATTTTTTCTTTTTTGGTCCTCCTATAGTCTATAGTCTACACAACAAAGGGATTAACAATTTTCCTTTAATAGGGCTACCTCATGAAAAAACACCAAAAATTAAATATAAAAGTACGGCTAGCAGTTGTATTTGTTGTACTAATAATAATACGAACCACATGTATGTCAAAATTTCAGGTTGCAACTCGTAAAAATCGTGGTGTAATTGGCTTTCAACCATTTTGTTCTCGCTTCTTGGCTGGCCCATCCTGTATCTAGTCTAAAATAGGGTACTGCTTCGTTTCGAATGTTCGAATCTCTGTACTTGTTCGTTAGTGGTCTCTCCACCGTGTGCCTTGCTCTGCCTCATACTTCTTGTTATTTTCAGCCTGGTTTTATTTTCATTTTATTTCTATTTTCTCTTCTCCTTACGGTTTCCATTTTTTTTCTCTTTTTTCTCTTTTTTCTCTCTTTTTTTTCTCTCTTTTTCTGTGCCAGATGTCCTTGTCTCTGCTTGCGTTGTGAAGTACCAAGATTGAACCAAGGGGGTGTACCTCTTTCTCTCCGGCCCATGATAGATAGTGACTGCTAGTCTCAGTTGATACCTCGCATAGCGCGAAGAGGGAGTGGAGGATTCCAGAATAATAATAATATCTGTCGTTGATTTCTATTGACTTGCGGACCCCTCGGGGCCAGTTTATTTGAGTGTACCTTTTTGAGGGTAAGTTAACCTGTGACCACGGGAATCGACCACGTCGAGTGTTGGATCAGTACGGACATACATACGAAGGTACTGGGTAGAGAGAGATCGGAACGGTTTTTAATGTGAAGACAACAACAACAACAACAACATGCGAAGGTGTACCGATTCTAGTGTTAAGGAGGACCCGATTCGCAGGGTAACCGTCGATTGACTTTTACCAGAATCGGTACACCTTCGCACATGGCGTCAGCGGCAGGATACTGGTTCGAATCTCCTTGGGTGCACGTTTTTTCTCCTGACTTGGACATTTTCCCATGGACACCATGTATGTGTGTCAGTCCTGAGAACACCTCTTGGAATCGATCCTATAAAGAACCTTGTGACACTTCCATCGAATTACCCGTCCTGGCCACAAGAGGTTCCCAGTTGAGGGTAAATTCTGTGGGTGGAGAGTGTTAAGGAGGACCCGATTCGCAGGGTAACCGTCGATTGACTTTTACCAGAATCGGTACACCTTCGCACAACAACAACAACTCTGTACAATTGTATTATTGTAAGCGTGCTCGAAAGAATCGAACTCAGAATTGAAGTATTCTGGAACAGGTTCTCACTCTGGTTCTCACAGTTCAGGCGTTGTTGGGCTACCCCACACCCCACACGCTCGGAAGGACCACCAGACAGACCAGACACACACCCGCCTTACACTACTTTTCCATCCCCTGGCAAGATTCTACATAGATAGGACGTCGTGGTGGCTCAAGGATATGTAAGGTTATTTTTCCTTCACGGGTGATTGCCTCCAATTTGTGAGAGAGAGAAAGTCCTCCATCAGCAGTTCTTTCTGCCCGCTACTAGACCATCGCCACAGGGCCAAGCTGGATGCTTATGCGCAACACGAGACGCTGGGCAGGGCCACGCAAGTAAATAGTGGAGAGCGCGGAAGACTAAAATATGATTCGTTTTTCCTGTTCTTTTTTTTTTCCACAAAGATTTTTCGTCCCCCCCCCTCCCCCCCGGAGACAAGCATTATCTCTGAAACCCCGGAAAGTCTTCCCGACTAATAAAAAAAAGTTGTTCTCTCTGGTCTCGCACGGTCGCTCGCACCCCCTGCCTGCACTTCTTCCAACCAAGCTTCGGGGACCGACCTTTCCTCCCCCTCTCCCTCTCCCGCGACCGCCAGACCCTCGGAGCGGCTCGACACTTCCCACCCACGCCAACTTTGACCCCAGGTGAGCCGTGGGTACCGCGGGTTGCCGTGCGGGCGTCCTCGGCGCGCTCAAATGCGTGGCGCGTGCCCTACGGCCCTGCGGGGGTGCTTCTAGCGTGAACCTTCTTTTGCTCTCCTGCTCGCGGCAGTCTAATTTTTTTATTCCGTCTTTTTTCTCGGCCCTGCCTGGTTTGTGACCCTGTAACACTCATGCGTCTCGCGTTTGGTGACGACACGGGCCAGCTGCTGCCTACCTTCGCGAGCACGGGTCGTTGGATGCGAGAGCCAGCTGGTGTTCCGACGCTAACGTTTGCTTCCCCCGACGCGTTTTCTCGTATTTTGCCCAGTTTTCTGCTTCAGACATCTGGCAGGTGGAAAAGCGCCTTTTTTTTCTTCTCCGCTGCACAGGACACACAAACATGAGGCGACTGAATTGTGCAGTCCAGAACTATGCCTGGGGCAAGAGGGGCAAGGACAGCATGGTCTCCAAGCTCAAGATGATGGAGAACGAGGGCTTCGAGACTGAGGAGGACAAGACGTACGCCGAGCTGTGGATGGGCACCCACCCCAACGGTCCCAGCCGGGTGATGCCCGAACCTGGCGACTTCTCGGCGGGGGCGGAAGAAGGCCACGCCGGTATCTTCCTCATCGAGCTCTTGGAGACCCACCCGCACTACCTGGGTGACCTCCAGGAGCAGGGCGACCTGCCCTTCATGTTCAAGGTCCTCTCCATCAACAAGGCTCTGAGTATTCAGGTTAGTTGGTTGTTGTTCGTCGGCCGTGAACAACAACAAATGATTTTTGCATGTTGTTGTTCCACTCCTGCTGCTGCGACCCCGCTGTCTCTCCGTCCTACACATCATGTTCGGTCTTTTGGTACAATTTTTGGTTTTTGTATGAGGGCGCGTGTGTGTTGTGCATACACTGCAAGATATCATAGAACACGTGGATATGATTTTTTTGGTGTCGCGCTTTTTCAGCGAAAATGTGTTCTCGGGGAATCGTCGTGTGCGCTGGATGATACTGACGTCAAACGCCGTGGTCTGATGTTTTGCGGAACTGCTGTGACAGAACGTCTTCGCTCTTTGACGGACCTTCAGGAATTATGACTTTTCGCGTTCATCTTTTCTGTAATTTTTGGAAGTAACGGTATGCGGTCCCAGCTTACCAGCTGCTGCTGCTGCTGCTGCTGCTGCTGCTGCTGCTGCTGCACGTCTTCAACCGACAACGTAGAAGGCAAAAAATAGGCGGCTTTTGGCACAGAACATGTGCGTTTTTTGTTTTTTTGTCATGAGGAGGCTGCCTCCCGCGTGTGCATCCCTTTCTACATCCACTCACCCATCCCTCTCGGCGCAAGCTGGGCACGCACGTCAGTTAGGTGTCGCGTGCATGTAGTAATAAGGAAAAATAAGTACACACTCACAGAAAGACTACAACCCCCATTCGCGATATACCCACAGCAGTTAGTCGAACGGGATGTGGTGAGTCTTTTCAGTGAGGAAAACCGGCTGGGTACTGGACTGATTTCGAGTCTTTTCAAGTCTATACACTGATGATTTATTTATATCAGTGATGCCAGCTGGTGCCAAGTGTCCTATAGCAGGTGTGTGTGTGTACCCAAATACCGTTCCAAGTTCTTTTTGGGCAGATCAGGTTGAATGTCTTCTGAACTCGGAGATTCATTCAGTTCATTCAATCGACGTCGAGGTTCTGTGGTACATGCCCATCCACTTCTCTGCTTTCTCTATGGACCTGCGCATACATATGCATACACAGCAGTAGTGACTGTTGTGACATGGGAAGTGGTTGTGTGTGACGTGATTCATGATCATTCCTTTGAATTCGTTTGTTTTCGAGTGGTGCGGTCCTCGACTAAATATTTCCGACAACAGCAGCAGTAGTTTGTTGAATAGGTGGTCCTCACCTGCCCTGCCTCCTGCGGAACAAGTCCGCGGCGGGGTTCATGAATGGTATATTATTCTTTCGCCGCCCTCGATGCTGCAGCATCTCGTACGTACCGTCTGCTATGTGTGGCGTATTGAAATTAATTAGTCCGACGAACGGACCGAAAAATACATTGTCGTAAAGCAATGGTTTGTTGCGGTTGGTTGGTTGTATACTACTTGCTTTTTATGTCCTGCTTGTTGCGTGCGCGGCGGACGAAAAAGGCCACAACAATTTTTGAAATATTGTGCGACCAACGCACGAACGACGTCGTATACTGCCGGCTAGCCGACACAAGCAATGTACTGGCGTACTGGCTTGGCATACGTCGGCATCTGTATGGTATGCAGACAAGACAAACACGGCCGTACGCTAGTACCACCACCCCCGTACACACCTATGTCATTCCCGCGTGTCCTTCGTCAACACTCACACGCACGCACCGACCCCCCCCCCCCGCTTTTCAGGCCCACCCCGACAAGAAGCTCGCGGAGCGCCTGTACGCGACGCGGCCCGACCTGTACAAGGACGACAACCACAAGCCCGAGATGGCCGTGGCGCTGTCGGACTTCGAGGGGCTCTGCGGCTTCCGGCCCTTCGAGGAGATCGTGTTCAACCTTCACCGGTATCCCGAGCTGCGCGGCCTCGTGAGCCTGTCGGCGATGCGCGCCATGTGCAGCCTCCCCGAAGACCCGGAAGACCAGCGCGACGCCCTCCGGAAGCTGTTCCAGTCGTACATCACGGCCAAGCCCGAGGTCGGGGCGACGCAGGTTAACGCGCTCGTGCAGAGGCTGGGCGAGCGCGCGGACGACGGGGGCTTTATGTCCGACGAGAGTCTCGTAAGTTTTTTTATGTGCTTGTTGTTTTGAAGGGGGGGGGGGGGGGGAGAGTCGAGTCACTACTGCTGCTGCTGCTGCTGTTGTGTGATGCGGCTAAATAGCGCTGTCTTGTGAGGTTATGAGGCGGTGCCCTCGTCGCCTTGACTGTTTGGACGCCAAGAATGTAGCAGCCTACGTATCGTTGCTGCTGCTGCTGCTGTTGCCTGCCGCTGTCTCATGCCCGTCTGTTGATCTGCACGTCGGCTATAAGTACTCTCATACCTTTCGCTCCCTTTTTTTTATTTTTGTGACGAACGCCGTCCTTTTTTATCAATCCAAACCTCTTGTGTACCTGTTTTCGCTTCTGCAGGACCACACGGACCATGAGGAGATCGACATGGAGGACATCTACGGCGCTGACTACGAACACCGGGAAAAGGGCGAGATGATGCTGGGGCGATTGCGTACCGAAGACTACTACGTCCAGGACCTCATGCGGCGTCTGTCGAAGGAATACCCCGGGGACATCGGCATCATGATGCCGCTGCTCCTCAACTACCTGCGCATGGGGGAGGGAGAGTCGTTCTTCATGGCGGCTAACGAACCCCACGCCTACCTCAAGGGAGACATCATGGAGGTGAGAAAACCAGGGTGCTTGTTCATGCCGTCCTGGGCTTTGGATGAAAGGTTGTGTATTTCACCGACTTGTCACCACGAAGCCGTTTTGATTAACGGAACGCCCGCTGCTGCAAGCCAAGAAAAGAAATACGTCACCTGTAGTTTGACGCGGTCGTTGAGAATATGCCTCGTGGTTGGTAGTCAAGTAACCCCCCGTCCCCCCGAGGACAATCGATGTATGACAGCAGCTGTGACCACCCACCCACCCTGCACACAGCTGACCCCCCCCCCCCCC